CAAAATGCCTCCATCTCCAAGTGAAAAAACTCCGATTTCAAAAGCGCGCCCGCTCTTTTTGCGAGGGAAATGGCGTGTCCTTCAAAACGAAGTTTTTTCACTTGGAGGAGGAGGCATTTTGCTGCATTTTTTGATACTTCCCGGATGCAAAATGATACGTGTTTTGCCATCGGATCTGGTCCCCTTCACTGTAGATCAGCGGGTCTCTTCGGGCTCAAACAAAATGCAGAGCGCGTGAGCGATGAACAGAATAAAAACGGCAAGACACACTTGTGTTCATTATTTTCCCGACAGACTGATACTATCTCATCAAAAACTTTGTTTGCCTCTCTAAAACGTGAGCTAAAATTTTTGGGACTTGATATGTGGCTTGTGCTCTACAATTCTCAAAATCATCACAGTAGACCACGCAGACAACGACTTTGTGGCAAATTCGGGAAAAAAGCTTCTGGAAAGGCTAATTCTCAGGTTTCTCCCAACTTGGCAGCAGCTTTATAAAGTTCATTTCCCCCAAAAATCAGGGAAATCCTTCGTGCGAAAATCGAGAGAAGAGCGTCTTTTTTTGTGTTCTGGACAAGGCGAAAAGTCATCGTTTAATCCGGGTTATTAAAATTTCCCAACAACGTGGTGGGGAGATTGAAATTCAAGGCAAATTCCGACAAATATCACGTAAGCGGGATTTTCGAGGAAGATAAGCGCAGCCGAAGATAACACCTTAAGGCGTTGCGTCAGAAAACATTGTTTTTTGGTCTCTCCCAAAAATTTCACCCACCCAAAAAGGCCAACGAGTTGTAGAATTCGTCAAAAAATTTAGGAGATTGGAACAGAAGCTCTAATCAAATATTTGAATGACTCATGGTCACTTGCAACGCGTGAGGAGTGTTGCGCTCGGTCATTTGAACAAACAGACACGTCACAAATTACGAATAAGTTAAATAACCGGAGTTGACAATTCCTTTAGATATGTTGACAGGATAAAACGGAAATCAAGAATTGAAATTGTTAATGGTCTTGTATTTTGGCGTGTTTCGACACAATCACAGACAAAGCAAGGCTTCCAAGGCTTTGAAAATTACAGTGGGCTTTTTGTGTCTACTTTGATAAGCCATAACTCGGCCCCTAGGGCCCATAAACACTTTTGAAAGCCATATTTCTCCAACCTGAAGCCGTCAATGTTTACTAGGTCGCCAGCATGAATCGATCTGCCAGAATGTGGAGCGGTCAGAGAGAAAACACTTCTTGGCCGTAGCTTTCCTAGCTTCGCATGAAAAAATTGATTTTTTGTGAAAACATTACCCTCTATGGCAGGAATAGGTAAGAAAATGTTTGTATCAAATCTTTGCCACCTTTCGGTCAGTCGTTTCTGCAAAGGGCGAGCTAGCAATCTCGCATATGCTTTAAAAAGGATTGTTCTAAATTTGTGGCCAGTTTCAATAAAATCTGAGCCTCGCACTTTGGATACTTCCTTCTTGAGTGACCTTTTTGCAACAGAAGAATTTTTATTTTGTGATATGACTTCACTCACTTTTGAAAAAGAGGTCAGCAATCTGTGTAACGAGGCGCAAGAGACCAGAGATCCGTTCGATCAGCTTGCACGCTTCTCTGTGATCAGTGAGCTTTCCTTTAAATTTTGCAAAATGTAATGTTTAACCGACTCAACCGCAGCTGACATTTGGCAGTTCATTTATTCGACCTTGAGCTTGTTGTCAAATACTCGATTTTTTTCATCAATGACCAATGAAGGATTTGTGACTTTATTTGGGACGTTCACAAGAATATAAGGAGTAAACAGCAAAACAAAAAATTCTCCTACACCCAAAACCCCATCAATCTCAACGCTGACAAAGTTGATTATAAGGCACCGGGACGCAACACAGTTAAGGCACAACAAAGACACGTACAACAAAACTTGAACAGTTTTATAGGCTCCTGGAGCCAATTTTAGGTTAAATGAGGCCTTGGGCGCTACAGGCGCCGGTTTTTAACAACAGTTCGGGTCGACGGTACTTTTGGGTGCCCTAATTTGTAATTGTATGCATGGGAAAAGCTTGGAGAAGACTTATTGTTAGTTAATAGAAATATAAGTAGATTGATCAGATCCTAGGATAGTTTATCACCTATTTTGAGGTATTTTGCATGTATTACAACAGTACGGCCAGCCGTGGCAGCTGAGCCAACGTCGACAATTGGAATGAAAGGGTCAGTTGGTTGGAACGCGAGCCTGAAAGGAGGTCAGTTGTGGACGGAAGTGTTCAAGGAGGAGAATTCAGGAACCGATTGTGCGTATTGTGTTTTGCTGCTTGGTTTCGGAGATGTTTTGGAGGATAAAGTTTTTGTGATACTTGGACTGCGATTATTGTGGAGGTCGGGACGATCGTTTAGTGGAATTTGGAGTATGGCTGGTGATTTGGGATACCGTACTATTCTGCAATAATACCCTGATAAAACGTAGGGATCTCTATTGTTTCGGGTAAGCTCTGGTGTTTTCCACACGACAATATCTCAGGATTCAGAAAACTAGGGTTAGGGATAGCTAAAATTAGATAGGGTTGTCATTTTGTAAGCCTCTTCCAAGTCTCCGCCGAGCCTTCGCCAAACGTCCGCCAAGCATTCAACGGCTTTCATAGGCCTCGTAGGTACCTCCTACCGCTTTTTTTGGCTCTCCGCTTGTATTTAACAGCTAAAATTAGAAAAAGTGTTGCAAGTCTCCGCCAAGCCTTCCCCAACCGTCTGCCGATAATCCGACGGTTTTCACAGGCCTCGTAGCCACTTCATACAACCTTTTTTGAGCAGCCACCTGCCCTATGCCTCTTACCAAATGATTTGATTTTGTATTTTCCCGAACTGTCGTCGACCAGAAAAGTCGGGACACGAGCCACGGCAACCCAGGGAGAATTCCTCCTCGTTTCAGTATCGTTCAAATTTCAGTATCGTTCAATTTACACTCAGTATCGTTCAAATTTACACGAAATCTCACAACAGAATCTGTCTTGTTGTTTTTGGATGACAAAATATCTTTCTCGAAATTATTTTATTGCTCTTGACAGTTGTGACACTTCGTTTGGACGAAACTCAAAAGTGGGCGGGAGACATGTTTGTTCTAAATATATTTCGGTTTGCCGTGCGAGCCTTTGTACGGCAAAACTTGTAATACTAACCTTATTTTTAAGTCTCTTGACACTACTCTCGCAGAGCTTTGATTGTGATAACTTGTTGTTCAAACCTTTTTTTCCGAGCTACACTTTATTACTTCCTGAACAAATTTTTTTCATTTTTTTTTTTTGTTTCTCGCCAATCTTTTTTGTATTTCCGCCAATGATTTCATTGAATTTCGCCGATTGCGTCAGTGGAAATGGGGAGAGTGGGGGAATTTGCAAAGTACAAACCAAACCGTTTTTGTAAATACATTTTGCTGACGCGAAACTGCGAGGGCGGAAGGGAATCTTCTGGAAGAGTTGATTTGAATCTCGTGAATCAAGTTGAGGTCAAAAATGACGGAGAGTTTACTTTACACGTTATTCTGTACTTTTGGGACACAGCTGCAGGTCTCCCCAAATTTTTTCTATTTTTTTTTCAAAATGGACCTGCTTTTTTAATTCATTGTTCGCTAACCGTTGAAACTAGAGCCGTGAAAATTGGCATGCAAATACCTTGGAATAACTCAACTTCAGCTTGAAAGCGTGACTTGAAATTTTGATCAGAGATTGCACAACTCTGGCTCCGGCTCTCGGCTAACTCGCATAATTTAACTGTTTCGGTTTTTTGAATGTATAAATGTATGCTATTGAGCTTTCGTGGCGTTAGAACAGAATGACACGATCTTATTAGTGTCAGAGATGACACACCAAACGTGTTTTAGCCGAGTCGTACGCAAGGCATCATTCCCAGTATTCTTCAAGCAACTGGTTAATTTTTACATACTTTTCTAAACGCTTAGAAGCCGGGAGCCGCTCAGAGCCGGAGCCAAGAGCCGGAATTGTAACAATCCCTGATCTTGATCAAGATCTATAGCCTTGATTATGTAATCATATGGGAAAAAATTAAAGCAGTTCCAAGGCCGGATACTCAACTCTTTACCTGCAAATTTCAGAGCCCCAATCGTACACAAAATACTTGGCATCTACTCTATATCTCTTAAACCTACCTTATTTCAAAACCTTGTACGTTATTACTTGACCTTTCTCCTTTTTCTTTCAACGCCAAAAGAAAAAAGGTTTGGAACCATAACAAAAATCACACATAAACCACAAAAACTGCAATGTGATCCTTCAGGTGTAACATCTTTCAAAATTGTTTTGTTGTTCGCTGTTTTCAGCATGATGCAACTGTAGGAAATAAGACGATGTAGGGCGGAAGATTCCGAGGAAAAACATATCAGCTGTCGGGAAAATAGTGAGCGTTCTGTCGCATCCAAATTCGCATGGCCTTAGCTTTAAGCTAGTGAGCATATGGCAAAAACTCCTTAACTTCTTGAGGGCATTCCAGGGCAAAACGTCAAAATTTCCCTGGCCCGCTCTCCTATGTTGTACCTCAATACTGGCTCCTTCGCAAAGTTGCTGGGGTGATTTTTAAAAAGATGTAATACACTATGAAAAAACAAAAAATTTGTCGGGTGTCTCCGACACCTGGTCTTTTTTGCAAGGCACCTGAAAGTCTAAAAATCTTCCCCAATCGACAATTTTTTTTGCGGCCGAAAATGAGGAATATCGACGTTATTTGACGGTGTTTTCGTGTAAAAATTCCAAAGAAAATGGAGCCCTACAGAACCTTTTTGTCTAAAAAAAATCATTTTGCTCATTCATCGTCATGAAATTTGAAAATTCCCTTCGAAATTCCAATAAAACTCTTTATTACTTTATTAATTCCGCGTTATTTGCGTTTTTCATGGGTTGAGAAAAATGGCAGTGAGACTTGAGCACACCAAAACTACAATGTAACCAGAGCGATTTTGGGGCCCAATTCAAAGGTTAAGAGATCCGAGCAGACACACGCAGCTGTCTTCAGTACTTCTTGGCCACTCTGTTCACGTAGTTGGTGGTTTGGACGTCCTGGTTGGTGCGTGGGACGTCGTAGCCGCCGCTGGAGGCTGGATGCTCGGGGGCGGGTGGTGAGGCGGTGGTGTGGGGTGGCGAGTAGGCTGGTGGAGCGGGCGCTGGAGCAGAGGCGTGGTAGGAGGAGGTGGCCGGTGGAGCGGCTGGGCCTTGGCTGTAGGACGAGGTCTGTGGAGCTGGCGCGGCTGGAACTTCGACCGGTTCTGGCTCCGGAGCGGGGGCTGGAGCAGCGGGCGCAGAGTAGGATGGAGCTGGGGCAGCTGGAGCGGAGTATGATGGAGCTGGAGCGGCCGGAGCGGAGTATGATGGAGCTGGAGCAGCCGGAGCGGAGTAGGATGGAGCGGGAGCTGGAGCGGCGGGTTGAGCATACGAAGAGACAGGTGGTGCGGCTGGAGCAGAGTATGATGGAGCGGCAGCGGGAGCGTGATAGGTCTGCGCTGGCGCTTGGTAGGCTGGAGCAGCTGGCGCCGAATATCTAGGGGCGGGCGCAGCGTAGCTTTGTTGGACTGGCGCCTGGTAGGCTGGGGCAGCTGGAGCGGAGTAGGTTTGAGCTGGAGCAGAATAGCTCTGAGCTGGAGCGGAGTAACTCTGGGCTGGAGCAGAGTAAGAGGAGTAGCTCTGAGCGGCTGGAGCGTAGCTCTGGCCATAAGAAGCTTGTTGGCCATAGCTCTGGCCTCCATATCCGGCGGATTGTCCGTAGCCGGCAGATTGTCCGTATCCAGCGGATTGACCGCCATATCCGGAGGCATAAGGAGATCCATAAGAAGATCCGTAGGAAGCTCCGTAGCCGGGAGAGGCACCACCATAGCCAGATCCTCCCAAGGCTCCTCCAGTAGCATAGCTGGCGACTTGGCCAACAGCGTTTCCGGCGTAGCTAGCGGCCTGACCGGCGTAGTTGACGGTTTGTCCAACGGCTTGGCCGGCGTATCCGACGGCCTGGCCTACAAGACCTCCTCCGTAGCCTTGTTGGCCGTATCCTGCAGCGCCATATCCAGATTGTCCGTATCCTGAGGCTCCATATCCGGCGGATTGCCCGTATCCGGCAGATTGTCCGCCATATCCGGAAGAGTAAGGAGATCCATAAGAAGATCCGTAACTAGCGGAAGGCTGACCGTAGCTGGAGGCTCCATAAGACTGTTGGCCGTAACTGGCAGCTGGGGCGGAGTAGCTCTGGCTGTATTGAGCAGCGGGCTGGGAGTAGCTCTGAGAGTAGCTGGCAGCTGGGGCGGAGTAGGATTGCTGGGCTTGGTAGGTCTGTTGGACAGGGGCCTGGTAGCTTTGCTGAGGCTGGGCGTAGCTCTGAGCGGGCGCTTGATAGGTCTGCTGTTGTTGGACGGGGGCTTGGTAGGTCTGTTGCCTTGGCTGGGCGTAGGCCTGACGAGCCGGCGCTTGATAACTCTGCTGCCTTGGCTGCGCGTACGACTTGGCCGGCGCTTGATAACTCTGCTGAGGCTTCGCGTACGAGGATCCGGTTGATGGAGGGCGCGAAGGAGGGGCTACGGCATAACCGCCTCCGGCGTTGGCGCCACCGACCAAAAGGCAAAGAAGAATGGCAAGACGAGCGGACATGTTAGCTGAAAACCCAACAAAATTATAAATCAAAGTTCAAAAAGGATCCAAAAAGTCTAATGAAAGCAAAATGGGCTAGTTGCAAGACGGTTTCGATGACTTACCGGTATCGCCGAAACACTTCCACACTAAATTCCATCGACAGTTCCGAAAACTTTTATAGGGCCCGCAAAGTCGCCGGAAGGCTGGAGAAACCTTTTTGCCCGCGCGACCCGCCCACTTCCTTGCCCCCTGAACTTTTTACAGTGATGGACCGAGTAAATTGGAAACCCCATTCAACTCTCCCCCCGTTCCTTTTCCTTTCCGTTGAACTTTACAACACATAAACAAGGTCCTGGCGATTCCGTCGGGAAAATAAAGCATCGCGAATGCCCGACGGTGTTCGAGAAGGGCAAGGGCTGGAATTTAGGTATAGGAGGGGAGCACCTAATGTGCAATTTTGCAACTAATAGAACGTACAATGTACAATGAGCACGTAAAAATTCCTATAGAAATTGTGATATTGTTCCTTGTCGGCCTTTTTTTCGATTCTTACACAATTGAATTGGGTTGAAGCAAATTTAAGGCGGGTTTAATATTTAAAATGATGTCAATAAAGGTCTTTTGAGACTGTGACAGACAAGGAAGAAATTAAAAACATTTTTTTTTGAATCGTATGGATTTTTTTTTTGATATTTTTAGAGGGAAAGTAAATATATACCACTTACATGCGGATTTTGTCGCCCCATACGATTTAGATATAAAGGCATGACTGCAATTGCCTGGTAGGAAAGTCTACGGCCTCCAATTTGCCATGCCTTCATTATCCAAATTCCCCCATAGCTTCAAAATAAAATGGGGCTGAATTTTCTTTGCGTTTTTCCACAGAAAATGACTCCTTCTAAACTGCACTTACACGGAAAGTATCTCACGTGCGACACTCAGATCTCCCATAAATTTTGTGCATATTTCGGGCATAGGCCGCATTTCGATTCCTGAAACTTATAACTCGCGCTTTGTAGGGGCAGCCGGGATTTTCAACGATCTTTGCCGCCGGGAGAGTAAGCGAGGCAAAGAGAGCGGTCAGAAACGAAACTTTTAGACATTTGTTGCTATTCTTGCGTGGAAAAAATTGATTTTTTTTTTTGTGGAAACGGTTCTCTCTACGGCAGAAATAGACATTAGAGTTTGTCATGCCCAAACTTGTTTAACCTATCAGTCTGTCGGGAACATAATGAGCGCTCTGTCGCATTGAAAGTCGCATTGCCACCGAGAAAATGAATTTTGTCGTGACAGTATCAAATTGTTTTTCACTTCCATTGCGCTCATTATTTTTCCGACATGCTAAAAGAAATATAGACTTATGCCAAGTTTAATCAAAAACTGAGCGTCGCACTTGGGGTACATCTACTTCACCTGTTAATTCAAACGTTTCATTTTGTTTTAAAATTTGTTTTTCTAAAATCAGTACGGCCACTTAGGTATTCACAGCTCCCCTCTAACGCCGTGAAATTTACAAATCAAATTAGGAAGGCGTTGCCCTCGCGCGACCCTGACCTTGTTGTCATCAGCCTTCGCAATTAGTCCAATGGCTGTTATTTATGTTGATCGCCAAAAAAATGGGAACTACATGAATACATATTGTTACAAACGCTCTGTGCACGGTTGTTTGGGCTTGTTTTCGTAAACACGTTTGGGTAAACAGCCGTTCGAAAAAAACATTGCGCGGCTTGATTTAGCGCACAATCGGAAAAGTGATATGATCCTAATCGCAAACACTATCAATTTGGCGCTTCTTTATTGCACTGGGCACCCAGTGCAATAAATAAGTTTGTGCATAGCGGATTGTGGGGAACTAAAGATTTGTTATTGGGAACAAGGTTCTCTTCCCACCGATTCGACCACTTGACCCTTACAAATATCTGAGGGACAAGCTCCCAAAGATCAACACAATCAATCACTGAACAAACCGCAAATATGTTTATCCTCAGTAACGCTCTTCCTCCTAACAATATGGCCGAATGAGTGGCCGCTATAGATTAATATAATGTTATCAAATCCTCTAGCAACTGTGGCCAACCGCGCTGCTTCTTCCCCCATTTGTCGTCATAATCCACCGTTTCCTTTCTCTCTCGACCGTTGCGGCGGAATGCCAAGGCTCTCAATGTCTTCGTGTCAGGGCGTGGGTCGGGGTCCAATTTTGTTATTGCGGCCGTGGGTTCACATGTTTAAAAAGAAGCATTACAGCGGAAAGACAAATTAAAAGCGGCTCCAGAAAGATTAAGAAAATGCGCCTCGATTTTGCGTTTGACTTGGATAAACGAATTGTATCAGTCTGTCGCACCAAATTTCCAACTGTGGCTAGCCGTCGGAGAACAATGATGGATGATTCCAAGGAGCGACGACCCGCCACTATTTTTTCGACAACACTGGTCACACCGTCAAGATTCCCGGCTTTCTAGCACATTGCTTTTTAAATTGTCCCAAACTTTTTTAACGCCGGAATGATCTGGGATCAGACTAGCGGAAAAGGGTGATGAGGGAACACCTGTCTGTCGGGAAAATGTACACATAGTGAGTTCATTGTCTCTTCGTAAACCGTGTCGCTGAAGTATGATTTTGCCGCGGCACAATTTATTTTCTCGGCGATGATGCAATCTTCGATGCGACATAGCGGTCATTATTTTGCCGACAGATTGATGAAAATCCTTGTTGCTAGCGAGCCTCATCCGCAGTTTCAGTCCATAAAAACCCCAATTTTAAAGTTTCTGTCAAGCCCTGCCGTTAGGTAATTCATTCAACCTTTAAAACACATTTTGGATGTTTTTTATGACCTCTCCGAACTTCCGTTCTTCTGTGGAGGTCAAACTGATTTTCAGACTTTAGCTGAGCCAGCAAATTGTGTAGCTAGTTGAAAAACAACTGAAAATTGAGTTTTTTTTTAGAAGCGATGAGGTATTTGTGCGTTCCGACATTTGCAAAAAAAAAATTTTGTTTGACCCCTTATTGTCTCTGTCGGGAAAATAATGAACAGAATGGGGCTGCGCCGATCGCGTCGCTGAAGTGAAAAAAAAGAAATTTGATTTTGCCGCAACACAGTTCGTTTTCTCGGCGGCGATGCGCTTTTGGATGCGGCAAAGTGCTTATTATTTTCCCGACAGACTGATATTTTTCCAATTATCTTTTTTCCTAATATACCAGGCTCAGACATCATTGTTTACTACTTCCAAAACAAAAAAAAATATTTTTGGCGTAAATACAAGCCATATCCAAGGTCTTATTTATTTCTCTCAAACGGTTTTTGTATTACGTGGGCGTCACATTTCCTTAAACTGTTTGGAGCAGCGTCTTTACAGCATCCAGGTGCCTTCTACAAAAGAAAACAGGAACGTTTTAAATTCGAAAACAGTTATTTATTACAGGTTCGGCGGGAGTCGCTTGTTGTTGGAGACGGAAGAAAATCTTATTCAAATTGATTAAAAATGTCGGAGTAGACGGAAAGGTTCGCCTTTTTTGGAGTTATGGGATTGCAAATTAAAAATTTTTTTTTTCAAAAAATTTCGATTGAAGCTATGTCTGTCGGGAAAATAATGCCGACTCGTAGCGCCTTGGAATCGCGATGGTAGTCGCAGCGGCAAAATTGACGCGCGACAGTGAGGAGACGAAAAATTTTGCTGCGCCGACCCGCCACAATTTTCCCGACAGACTGCTAAAAATTACATTTGCAAGGCTTAATTTGGGCTGTGAAGCGCTGGCTATCAGTTTGTCGGGAAAATAATGAGCGCAATGTCGCTGTGCGTACTAAAAGTAGACCTTGGACAACAAGTTCCAAAAACAATAGCGCTTTGGGCGTTATACTTAAATTTTATTGAAGTTTTGTCTGTAAAGTCCGCCTAGGCCGGATATCAGCTTGTCGGGAAAATAATGAGCACTCTGTCGCATCGAAAATCGCGTCACCGCCGAGAAATGAATTGTGTGCGACAAAATCAAATTAATTTCACTTCAGCGACGGGATTGGCGCAGCGACAGAGCGCTTAGTATATTCCCGACAGACTGACACCAATTTCTGAAAGTCGCAGCTCGCGCTTTGCCCGGCTCGGCCGAGATAATCAATAATTTCCACAGGCTAGGGAGTACGCAAAAGCGAAATATCGCTGCGCCTATCGCGTCGCTGATGTCGAAAGCAGTTTGATTTTTCCGGGACCCAATCCATTTTCTCGGCGTTGGTGCAATTTTTTATGCGACAGATGTTCATTATTTTCCCGACAGGCTGATAGTTCGGCAAGAGTCATTTTTCGGCCGAAGGAACAACAACTACAACAAAACTTTTTTTAACGTACGATTTTTCTTTCCTTGGCGCTATCAAGCGTAGACTGTATTTTTTTCAATATGATATGCATTTACTACACATTTTTTCCCTATTTCTCCCTCTCAAAATTCGCAAAGATACGGATCAAAAATCGGAAACGAACTACAGCCTCAAACACCATACAATATGTTTACCGTTACGCCCTAATTACAAACAGCAAACCATAATTTTCGCCATCAACAACCTTGTGCTTTGAATCCGCGATTTCAATACGATTACAATTTTACATTTACCAACAAATCTTTCGAAAAAATAATCACCTTACATCAGAATGACCTCCAGGGGAATTCCGATAAACTTCCACAAAACAATTCGCCGAATGAAGATGACGTAACGGTTCAACGAATAAATCATTCATGTCAGGCGAAACCACCAGAAACCTTGGCGCTCTGATGAAATCTTGACCTTGTGCCACCTTTTTTGCAGTGAAATTTAATTGATTGTGCCTTTCCGGTAGGGAATGCCTAAGGCTTTAAAGACCATCAGTAGAAGTAAGGGTTCAAGGCAAAGTAATGAAATTTGGATGGGTTTGAAGGTGAAATGAGACTTGGTAAAAAATGAAATTAGAAGATTCGAAGAGATGTGTGAGATTTTTTGTCCGGGCTATGTATAGAAATCACTCAGATTTGAATTTGAATATCAGTCTGTCGGAAAAATAATAAGCACAATGTCACTGCGCTGACCGCGCCGCTGAAGCATAAAAAAGTTGATTTTGGTGCGGCACAATTAATTTCCTCGGAGGCGATGCAACTTTCGATGCGACAGAATGCTCAGTATTTTCCTGACAAACTGAAGTGCATATTGCACTAGGCGACGGAACTCAGCTCTTCTGCAATTGGCTACGGACGCCTAGAGTATGTCATAGCCGTGTCCTCACAGCTCTAGCAAAAAAAATTGATAATTATTTTGCCGATAGATTGATAATAAAATTCAAATTGAATTTGAATTCGCTTCAACGGAATCCGGTATTTTCTTCCCGAAGAGCGGTCGGTTTTTCTGTCCAACCCTGCCGTCGCGGGGATAAACGGCTTTGTCTGGGGCAGTAGCCACACATCACAATGGATTCCAGGCCTTACCGTCAGCGTAAGCTCAATTCGAAGCGTAGAAATAAAATTGGAACTAGAGTATGTACTATTCGTTCCGGAATGTCGCCGGACTTCAGGTCCAAACTTTTAAGCGAGACTTGAAGTTTTTATCAAGATCTATGGCCTTAGTTGATCAGGGAGGAGTTGAAAACTAAGTATCCAAGGCCTCGCACATTAAACTCTTTACCTGTGGATTTCCAAGCCATCACGAAAGCCATACACAGGCTTTTGGCATTCGAAAATTTACGGTATTACAAAATATTGTACACTGTTGCATGTGGTATCAGTCTGTGCTCATTATTTTCCCGACAAACTGATAATTTGTTCCAATCCTTGACATGATCTGTATATCACATTTTGAAGCCTACAAAAAAGAATTAATTTTCATCCTCCTTTTTCCTTTGAGATTGCAAAAAGACATCTTGTTTTGCTATATTTGACCCTTCCATCTTGCCTTTCTCCCACATCATGTTGTGGTTTACTATGCAATCAGCAACATTCCTTCTCACCCACTCTTGGGCCGCTAATTACCAGCTCAGACCCTAATTACTTGCAAGTGCGTAGGAAGTTGGGCAAAGGGAACGGATCAATCCGAGGTCATCAAAGTCAGAGGAAACCGTTCTCTCTTCCACCGACTATTTACGCGAGAAACTTTCTCCGTGCCCATTGTAAAGGGCCGGGTCACTATTGGGAAATGGTTTCTCGGGAAGTAAACAGGAGTTTTAGGGGTTCGCCAAGTGCAAATGAGTGGGCTGTCAGATCGGGAAGATAGTGGGAACTTTACAGGGAAACATAAAACATAAATTCTGTGGAATGATGGACATAAATCAAGGAGTTCTTGGAGTGGGACACTCCGGCTTTCATAGAACTTTTTCATAAATTTATATTTTTACTTTCCAGAATATATCAGTCTGTCGGGGAAATAATGAGCATTCTATCGCATGGAAAATCGCATTGAGGCCAAGAAAATGAATTTTATCGCGGCAAAATCAAATTGCTGTTTACTTCGGCGACGTGACCGGAGCAACGACATTGTTCTCATTATTTTCCCGACTGCCTGATAATAGTAATATGCGTCATTTTTATATGGCGTTTTTAGAAATGAGCAGTTTTACCGGGGTAAAACTGCTCATTATCTCCGCAAAATAGAAGCCTGACTTCTACTGTAGGGGATTGCTTTACGACAAAAAATTAACCTTTTCCAAGAGAAATCAGCATAGATATGGCCAAAAAGTGTTTACCGTGGGGGACCTGATCCAGTGGCAAAAAAAGTTCCATTTTGCATCCGGGAAGCATCAAAACGTGTAGCAAAATACCTCCCTCTCCAAGTGAAAAAACTCCGATTTCAACAGCGCGCCCCTTCAAGCCAGAGTCTTTTCACTTGGAGAGGGAAGCGTTTCGCCACCTTTTTGATGCTTCCCGGATGCAAAATCGTACGTTTTTTGCCACTGTATCAGATCAGGTCCCCCACTGCATGTCGGTCTGTCGGGAAATTAATGAACACTCTGTGGCATGGAAAATCGCATCACCGCCGAGAAAAAGAATTGTGTCGCGACAAAATCATACTGATTTCCACTTCAGCGACGTGATCGCCGGAGCGACTTTGTGCTCATTATTTTCCCGGCAGACTGATGTCTGTCCGCCCATTCTCAGCATTTTAGTTTCTCCTTGGCAAAACTCATGTATAGTATTCTATTAAAATATTAGCTGCTAAAACAAAGCACAAACTAAAATTTCATGGAATTATTATGCCAGCATAGTACTAATTGCACATCAAACATTTATTAAAAGTAAGTACGTTGTTTACAACCATGGAACTATCAATATTATTGCAAGAAACATTATTCTCAGACAAAAAAAAACAGCTATCGTATCTTCTTCTTCTTGGCAAATCAACGACGAAAACGCCGCTCGTTGTAGGGCATTGTACTGAAAGACACAACATATTGCACGATATTTCTCTTTACACATAATTATCTTTCTTATCGAACCGCCGTTCGTTCGCCCACGGTATCCCCCAGGAAGCCGGAATCGCGGCTCTTGGCCGACGTAGAGAGCCGAGTGAAGCGCTCCACGGGCGTCACACTGTCGCCGGAATGTCGAATGGAAGCCAGCGAGGGAATGGAGACGTTGAGGATCTCGTCCACGTCCTCGGCGTCGGCAAAGTTCTGAAATTTGAGATGTTTGGTTTGGGACACAATACTTAAATTTTCTTGAAATTATGTATGTAAGGTCCGTCTAGGCCAGATATCAGTTTGTCGGGAAAATAATGAGCACTATGTCGCATCGAAAATCGCATCACCGCCGAGAAAATTGCATCCCGGAAGGGACCAAAATGACTCCAGGCCATTCTCTTCTCTAAGCTAAAATACTCCGCTTTGAAAAGCACGCCCTTTCCTTCAAGGCGGGCTCTTCAAATTAGCTTACAGAAGGGAAGGGTTTGGAGACATTTTGGTCCCTTCCGAGATGCAAAGTGAGACGTTTTTTGCCATTGGATCCGGTCCCTCACTGTAATTATCGCTTCAGCGACGCGATTGGCGCAGCGAAAGAGCGCTCATTATTTTCCCGACAGACTGACATCAATTTCTGAAAGTCTTAGCTTTGCTCGGCTCTGCCGAGATATTCAACAATCTTCACAAGCAAGAGAGGACGAAAACCGAGTAGAACCGTATGAAAGACGTCTTGCGTTTACATCGTGACAATTTTCTACGGGTTTTCCAAAAAATTTTAAGAGGTAGACCAAAATTAACTATTTATGATTGTTACCGTATTCGCTGAAATATCAGTCCGTCGGGAAAATAATGAGCGAAATGTCACTGCGACAGTCGCATCGCTGAACTGAAAGGCGGTTTGATTTTATCAGGAGACAATTCATTTTCCCGGCGGTGATGCGATTTTGGATGCGACAGAGGGCTCATTATTTTCCCGACATATGAAAAAAATTATTCAGCAATTTTTTCAAGCAAAAGAGGACGAAAACCGAAGAGAGTCGGCAGCTAAAAGTTTTATGACCTAAATTTTGATTACATTGTAGCCTTTCCTGCCACTTTCTAATAAGGCAAAAAATGATTTTTTCATAAGCGTTTTTGTTATCGTACCCATGAAAAATGGCCAGACTCAAAACCTTAACTTGAAATGTCTGATCTTTATCTAGGTTAACGCTGGATTTGAGGCCAATTTTTTGGCCATAAATATGCTCTAGATCCCTGTTTAACTTGAAATTTCTTATTGCAACAAAAACACCAGTTACCTCATTACTCGTAATACTCTCCACTTCAATCTCCATGGACTCTCCTCGAGCTGCTTGAGCGTTCCGTTGACTCTCATTATAGCGCCGTTCCCGGCTCTTCAGCCTCCGCTGCCTTGACTCGGTTGGCCTTCGGAACATTGCATTTGAAGATTTGAGGTCATTCTCGCTGACAGTAAGTTCTAAAAGATTGGAATGAAAGTGAACGAAGCCCTTACCTTCCAATGTATCTCTTCTGGTCCGCCTCGATCGCTGCTCCAACGCCGAAGACGTTGAGGGGCGTTCGTTGGGGAGGGGGCTGTCGTTCGGCTGAAAAAAGGGGAGTTGCAGCAAATTACCAACAACAAAACGGTTGGATATTTGGTTGATATTGTTTGTGGGTAATGCTTGGAGTTTTTGGCAAAGGCAAACAAGATTTTTAAGTTTTTCAGTAAATTTACGTCACTTTCTCGTATGGTCGCAAAATGGTGGAGTTTCTGATGACTACGCCCTATTATTTAAAACAAGGAAACATTTTCAAGTGCGGCGCTCAGATTTTCTTCCAACTTTGCACACACGTCAGGCATAGGAGATAGATCAATTCCCGATAGTTTTAGCCCGCCCTTTGCATGTGCAGCCGAGATTTGGAACGATTTTTGACGCTGAGAGAGTGGGCGACACGCGGAAAGCGGCCAGAGAGATACTTTTTTCTGGAAGCATGTTTGCAGGCCCGAAACTCTTACGCCAAATTTGCAAAACGGCGTTACATTTTTTCCAGCTTTCGACCTAAAAATCTCCTTCTTTTCTGCAAAGCGCGAACTAGGATTCTCGCATATGTCTTAGAAAAAATTATACTGAATTTGTGCCAAGTTTCATCCAAATCTGAGCGCGCACTCGCAGTAATTCCATTGTTAGCCTTCTCACATGATTACAAATGGGACCTTGTGGTGATTAAACCCTGTAGAATGCTTACCCGACTCAAGTCCAGCCCGTTCGCCGGTCCAAACCCATTCAAACTGTTTCGCGGGGCGATTGGAGGCAGTGGCTTGTCGGTGACATAGCTTTCAAGCTGCCTTCCATTCAACGTCTCGTCGCTGTCCGTAAGCGGTGTGCTCTGAAAATACGATCATATTTCCGCAGGAATTGCATTTTTCTAGCATTATATGCTAGAAAAACGATAGGCTGCCCAACTGTTGAAAACTTACCATTCTCCCTCCCTTCGGCAGGAAGTTCCGGCACAACGGCTTCAACTCGATCGAGGAATTGGAACTCACCGAGGCACTCGAATCTCTCGCCACTGAACTCCGCACCCCAAACAAGTAGTCCTCGCCGAGATGCTCACGGATGACCTCTGAAAGGTCCAGAGTATTGCGGATCTGTTTAGGCACTTACCCTCCATTCTCTCTCGAATCTCCTGCTCAAACTTGACTTTGGTTTGGTATCTTTCGGTCTGCTCTTTCAGTTCGCTTTGAAGTTCAGAGATCTGCTTTTGAGACGTGTTTTTTATCGAGTTGGTTTCTTTCTTCTGCAAAAAATCATAAATATTATGGCTCGGGACTTATAAATCTTTGTGTGTCGATAAAATGTGTCATGATGACACAGTTTTAAAATGTGCCATCGGTATAAATAAGGGCCCTATATGGCTAGAAGTACGCCACAGAGCACGTCAAAAAAAATTCCGGCACTACAAAGTTTGTGGATGCGAAAAAAATAAAAAAAAAGTGAAAAACCAGAAAATCCAGAAAATCCGTCGTACAAATTGAGCATTGCAAAAGTTTTGAACTTCGATTTTTTTGTGGGTGCTCCAAGGAGTACTACTGCCACATACTGCTGTTATTTTTACTATTGGCACATTTTAAATGGGTGTCATAATGACACATTTTTTGGATTTTAGTATATGGCTCCCCGAGCCATATACTATGTACAACCGATATTCTTGATGTCAAATCTGAGATCTCACTGACCTCATTTCTGACTTTTTTCTACATACGTAATGTAAAAGAGGTCTATCTATTGCAAATTAAAAGTCGCCTTACCAGCTCATCATACTTATCGAGCAGTTCCACATACATTGCCTTCAGATCACCGCTAATGCCATTCGGTTTTATTTTGGCGGTAGAGAAAGCACTCGGTAGTTCGGGAGCCCCGCCCAACTGCTCCTTTAGCCAGCTGACTTCTTCGCGAAGCTCTCGATTCTTCAGCTCTAGAGTTGTGATCTGAAATCGAGGTGGTAAAATACGATGTGGAAAAGAAATCCCATTTTTTTATTATTCACCTCTCTTTTCAATCCTTCCACAAATTCCTCAACTTCATGTCGTTTATGCTCCATTATGACATTTTGGATCTTATTTTCTTGCTCCAGCTCGTCTTCGTTAACCTTTGCGTCCAGCTGCTTCTAGAAGATTGTGTTAGTAAAGGTATTTGGATTCTGCTATGGAGCAAAACATAAGTGTGTAAAAACTTACTCCATTTCTGCGAGGCCTGTCATTAATAGCACCCAAGCTGGGCCTTCGTGCATGATTCAAAGCGGATGGGGCTTTCTTACTGTAAAAAAGTAGTCATTATCGGAGAAAAATGGTAAAAGGGGACAAGGTAATCTTTAAGATATTTAAATGTTTTTTTTCACTGTACAGACACGCCAACAAATTGTTTAGAACTTTTAGTACTAGTATCTCACTTGATATTTACTAACAATAAGTCATCATCAAGTCATAAAAAAACAGTCCCAAAGTTGTATTTTGGCCATTGACAACGAGTGGTTTTATTCGACCCTCTTTGACAAAACGGTCCAGCCCGGGACTCTCCAAATTTTCATAATTCCAGCCCGCTCAAACCTCAGGCCCTCTAGAAATTTCCGGGATCTGATTGGAGTGCCTACGCTTTCTGATCAGAATGAAATCAACCAAGCGTTCATATAAAACATTGCAGTGCCAACAAAAATTATCAGTCTGTCGGGAAAATGATGAGCAAAGTGGCTGCGTCGATCGTGCCGCTCAGGTGAAAAGCAGCTTCATTTTGTCGCGGCACTTCATTTTCTCGGCTCATTATTTTTTCGACAGACTGATACCTATCGTTGTTTGAAAAAACACTCGTTTTTGGATATCCTTTGGGAGAAAAACGCCACCATCAAGTACAACCTTGACTGCTCTTTGAATCATAGACTTTTTCCCATACTTTTAATCTTAAATTTGGCCTTCATACTTTCCTTTAGCTATATCATGTTCATTTTGCTGCATTCAAAAACATTAAAAAAAGTGCCTGGTAAAAAGTAATGTCCTTTTTTGATTAGTCCATTTCATGCGCTCAGAACCAGAGCGACCGAATATGAAAAGTGCTTATAAACCGACGACAATTTCCACTTGTCCCCATATAGATTCCCCTCCATGGCATTTTGCCACAGCCATTATAATCGACTTACTGTTGAGCACTGTTCGAATCGGCGGAGATCCGCTGCACACGTGTTGTGGAAGCACCAGTTCCCATCGCTCACTGCCACATGTGACCTTCAAGAAATGTATTGTGATTACAATTACTTTTTACTCATTCACGAAAACTTTAAACTGCCATGAGTTGGTGAAAACTTCAAAATAATAGCTCACTTGTAGATTATACTCAACACGGAACGAATATATAGTACAAAGTGCGTAAAAACGATATAAAAGTAATCATGATCCCCGAAAAAATACATGTATGTTGTCCTGGGACCATGAGGGTCACTCTCGCAAAATCATGGAAGGTAGAAATCCCTCGAGGGCAATTATTTTCCCCCGGCTGAGTATGGCGGGGCAATTATCCCGGGTTTCGCAATCTTTTCAAGCAGTGGTTTGTGAGTCTGATAGAGAATTGTTGCAACATGCTGAGGCATGATAATAGACCTTTTGCGAAAGAAAGGAATGTATAAATAGTCGGAATATTGAGGATCAAAGACCTAGTGTCATAATGGGAATAGCGAGGGTTAAGCAAGGAAGGTAATGATCACGATAAGATAATCGTATATAGATGGCAAAAAATGCTGGTAATTTGTTTTTTGTGACAAGATAAGGAAACCCGGTCATCATTTACAGTGGCGGAACTCACCCAGTTGCAAAATCCGTAAATTAGATTGATCAAGGCCTGGGATAGTTTGTGGCCTTGCTTGAGGTATTTTGCATGTATTACTGCAACAATACATGGATAAAAATTACGGATTTTCATTTTTTTGGAGTAAGTTTTGGTCTTGGTCTAACTCAGGATTAAGAAAACCAGAGTCAGAAATAGCTAAATTTAGAGAAAATGGTCATGTTATAAGTCTCAGCCGAGTCTTCGCCGAACGTCCGCCGAGTGTTCAACGGCTTCCACAGGCCTCGTACAGATTTTGCGCCGACCCGAACTGTCGTCGACCCGAAAAGTTGGGACCCGAAAGACATTTCCATACTATATACCGCAACGACTTTTGATCTTAATTTGTCTCCAAATTTTATATGCAGTGGAGGACCTGATCCCATGGCAAAAAACGTATCATTTTGCATCCGGAAAGCATCAGAAAACATGGCAAAATGTTTCCCTTTTCAACTGAAAAAACTTCGTTTTGAATGGCGCGCCCTCACCCTCACAAAAAGAGCGGGCGCGCTTTTGAAATCGGAGGTTTTTTTACTTGGAGAGGGAGGTATTTCGCTACATTTTTTGATACTCCTGGCTGCAAAATGGTACGTTTTTTGCCACTGGCTCAGGTCCTCCACTGTAGTCCGAGCACCACATTTCAATGCCTTCTTGGATTTTGAAGGACTCAAATACCCAAAAATGATACTAAATTTAATTTACCTCCCTGTTCACCTTGACTATATAAAAAACATGGAAGTGGTTCCTCGGCAAAACAACTGATATTTACCCCAGTAAACACACACCTTCCCCTCTCTTAATATCAACTACATAATCCCTCAAAACCCCGAAAAGGCCCAAATTAGCACGCATTCAGCGAGCGATGGTCAACAAAAAATAGTCGAGAAAAAACGGAATCCGAAGACTCGGGCGTTGTAAATTTAATCACAGGTCACGCAAGAGAGTCTGCAGCACTCTCGACTATAGTGGACATGATGCGAAAATGGCGCTGGGATAAGGCGACGGGATGAATTATTTATTGGAGATTAAGATTTGAGAAGTTTGGAAAAATTTGTAATTTTGAAGTTGTTTGTGGTATGTCGGGTAGGCGGAAAATGTGGGAGGAAAATCAAATCGCTTTATGTCCGTCGGGAAAATAATGAGCCCTCTGTCGCATCGAAAACCGCATCACCGTTGAGAAAATGAATTGTGTCGCGGCAAAATCAACGGTTTTAAGTTCAGCGACGCGATTAGCGGAGCTACATGGTGCTCATTATTTTCCCGACAGACTGATAAAACGATGAACATCCTTCTGCAAAGGCGATGTTTATTCCTTTAATCCCGGCGCAGCTCTCTCACCGATATAAAGTAATGGCTAAAAATTTTGGAAAATGACATGAGATCCAGAGGGATCAAGCCTATAAAAGCTTGATAAATCAAAGCATAGAATTTCGAACACTTGCCGAAAATACAAGCTCTTATAATTAGGGTTCCATTCAGTACACAGAGAGTTTGTCTACACATGCTCATATAAGTTTGTCGGGGAAATAATGAGCATTCTGTCGGATCGAGAATCGCATCGCCGCCGAGTAAATGAATTGTGTCTGCCAAAAACAGATTGCTTTTCACTGCAGCGACGCGATCGGCGCGGTAACATAGCGCTCATTATTTCCCCGACAGTCTGATAATTCTGCAAACACCAAACACCCTCCACCAAATCCCACGTCCCCAATGCCCGAATCAGCCTCCGTCTATTCACCCCATCGGTAAGAATAACGAGGCCCCGTTTCGAGGGTGAATGGGTATTACCTGGGGGCAATTCGGCCGGCCCTTTTCATCGGGCCCAAATCCTCAAATACTTTCCCAAAAAAACACAAAGTGCGGACGTGCTGGCCGTCTCAATTTACCGGCGAAACGAGGGCGCAATTAAGGTCGCAACATGATGCTAAGAGATGGCGGAGTACTGCGTAATCGGAAGAGGCAACAGGAAGAACTAAATCAGTGGCGGAAATATAGTTAATGAACTATCAAGCGGTATAAAAAAACCTGTTACCCAAACTATGCATGACGAATTTGAAATCATCAAAGGGTGGTTTTTCGGAAAGGATTTACTGGTAGTATGTTACACAAAATTTACATGGAAAGTGCCCCAAGTGTGACGCTCAAATTTTCTTTAAATTTTGCACATACCTCGGGCATGGGTCGCATATCAATGGCTGAAGGTTTAAGCCCGCGCGTTGCAGGCGCAGCCAAGATATTGCACAATCTTTGCCGCTGAGAGAGCATGCGAAAGGCGGAGAGCGGTCAAAGAGAAAATCACTTTTTTGCCCGTTCTTTTGCTAGTTTACTAGTCGCGGCAAAAAGTCCTTAGAATTTTGCACTGTGCATAAACCCGAAAAAGCATTTTGCACCGTGCATCCGACCGAAAAAGTGCTTTTGCACAGTGCAATTTTGTTGTTTTTGCCTTATTGTCGCGCGCGATTCCCATCTTTTCTCAGCGACAAATCGACTTTTCGGGTGCGACGGGATTTGGGGGCCGCGACAAATTCTAAGGACTTTTTGCCGCGACTAGTATTGCGGAAACAATTATTTTTTGTGGAAACATTGCCCTCTGCGGTTGGAATAGGTATTAAACTGTAGAAAAGAATATAAAACGCTTAATGCCAAAGGTGGCCAACTGGCGGAGAAATAAAAGAAAGAAGAGGAAAGCTTCGATCACACGTCTCTATCCGTTGAGGCAGAGTTTCGTTGTTCGGAGGTTCCATTTGTCCTAAAAAATGATGCCGAGGGCCCCTATGTAAAATTGTTCGTTATAAACGATCTTAATTTTAAAGGAAACTTTACGGAAACTTAGTTTATCGTTCAGCGATTTTACCTGTTAAAACCCTATACAACCACCAAATAAAGTTGAAGGCCTGTACCAAGCTTTTTATGTACCCATCTATGTATTCGTATATTATTTACTATGATATAATATTGTATAGTTACGAAAGAAACTGTCACTAATCCAAGAATCTTCCAGTTTTTGCCAAACAAGAAGCCTTATAATCCTTCTTTGACATTCTATTTGGAATAGATGAATAAAAAACAGGAAATCTCTGTTTCGCGTAAAAAATCGAGCCAATAGACTTGCGAAATAATACAAGTAAGACATAGAATCAATAAGATCAAATTCTATTTCAAACCGAAAGAAAATTGCCAATTAAAGCGCACGGAAAATCCCGAGTCACGTGAGAAATGACTGCAAAACAACTCGGTATTAAAGTTGACGCAAAATTTATAAATACTCTCGAATAACAGGATCTTTGAGCGGCTTTTAATCCAAAGATGATTACCTTTTCATGCCTTCTCATTTTTGTCAGATAACCGCGCTTAACTAAGCCTACAGATTGAGAGAGCATGTGTTCTGAGGGACCACCGGAGAGAACTGCTATCCATTTTGTAAGGGTGATGTTTGATAGAGGGGAGGGGTGAAATCTTGCAAAAATTAAGATAAATTGACAGGGAAGTGCCGGAAGTGCGACGCTCAGATTTTGATGAAACCGGGCGCAAATTTAGCCTGATATTTTGAAAGATATATGCGATAGCTCGCGCTTTGCAAAAGCAACCGAGATTTTTTAAGGCAAAAGTTGGAAAAAAATATGATTATTTTGCGAATTTTTCGCATGATAAGCTTTATACATATTTCACTCTAGGCGGATACGTTTCCCCAAAAAGATAAATTTTCAGCGCGAGGCTGTAAAATTTCTTTTTTACATATGGCCAAGCAATGAGTGTTTTTTATGTCTTTCCGCTCTCCACATTTGGCGCGCTCTCTCGGCCGCAAAGATTGTCGAATGTCGGCTGCAAAGTGCAAGCTAAACTTTGAGAAATTGATATGGGATCTGTGCGCAACATGTTTTCAAAATCAAACAGACAAATTTGAGGGGCAAACTTGGAAGCTTCCCTTATACAACGGCGGACCTGATTCAGCGACAAAAGCGCCAAAAGGGCCTTTTCTAACATCCATCGCTCATAAAACGGCAAATTGAGGCAACCCAGAGAATCGTTGACCCGAACTGTCGATGACCCGAAAAGTCGTATCGCCGGGATAAAAATTGTCTAGTTAGCAATATAAAACCACAGTGAAAACTCTGTACAACGCCCTATTTCAAAACTGATCTTCTCACTGCCTGAGGGAATTCTGACCAAACAAACTTTGTCGCCGACAAACAAGTGTAATAGGACAAGCTTTAGAAAATGTAAGCCCTTTGAAAAAACACCTTTTTCCGTTCAACAATCTTCGTTTTTTTTGAAACGGAATCGTTTATTTCAAAAAAAAATTTCGGCCGCAGAATTCCCTTTCCCCCTCATTTTCGGACAAAAGGAGATTCCTCTGAGCCCAATTTTGGGATAAAGCCGGGCGGGGAGAATGCCATGGTAACTCTGATAGTTAGTATTCGTAACGCCACTTACATCAGACTTTGTTCAAGGCGGTGTCTGGGACCACTGAACTAATCCCATTCGTTGAGGACGATGGGAGAAAACAAGGTTGAAGAGGGTAATTACAGTCGGTCGGGAAAGGGATAAATAAGGTGCAAAGAGCCGAGTCAACGGACAAAATTTGGCCGAGGAAGATGCATTGGATGGGCTACATAATGCAAAGCTCACAGGAGAAGTTCTTGTATGCTAGATTTCTAGCTCGGTTTTGCCAATGTCGCCGAGATTTTCAGGTTAATGGTTGCAAAAAAAAATCGTAATCTTGTTAAACCAAATTGCTTGAAAAACACAGGGAAGAATGTGTTACATACGGCTGTGCTGCAAGAACGTTGGGTGTGGAATCTCCGGCACTAATAACTTTCATTTCTGGAAAAATATTTTTAAAGAGAATTTTGAACGGGACACGTCAAACTGAGATAAGCTAAAACATTCCGGCGAAAAGATTCGTAATTTGCCAAAAAAGACGCGAAAAAACGTTTTGTCGGGGAAGAAATGGGGAACTTTTGGGGCGAGAGAGTACGTTTTTGCGTGTCTTTTTTCTCTCTTTCTCTGCGAAATCAAGACGAAGTGTAAAAAACCTATAGCGAAGGTCCATCCCGGTCACCGGACTCCTCAGTTTGACATGCCTGGATCCGGAGAGCTTTTTCAATTTTTCACGGAAGCCGGTGGCCTCGGCTCCGGCTCTTAGCTCCCAGAGCCGGAGCCGAGGCCAAATTTGCAGCTCCGGCTCTTGGCTCTGTGCAAAATTTAAAAAGGCGTCCGGCTCCGAATCCCGGCTTCTATGCAAAATGTTTTTTTAAAAATATTTTTCCAAAAATAAAAGTTATTAGTGCCAGAGATCATACAGCCAACGTTTTTGCAGTCAAGTCACATCCTCCGCAGTGTTTTTCAAGCAATTTGGTTTAACAAGGGCACGAAATTTTTACTTTTCTGACCGCTGGGAAACTTGGCTCCGACTTTGCCAATGTCGGAGCCAGCTCCGACTCGGGAGCCGGAGCCGACCCTAAAATTTCCGGCTCCGGCTCCTGGCTCAGAGCCGGAGCCGCTCAGAGCCGGAGCCAAGAGCCGGCTCCGGAGCCGTGGCAATCTCTGGTTGTATCTTGAGCTATATCTTGGAATGCTGTATCCCATAAAAAGATTGATCCAAACCCGTTCAACGGACCTTCTATGTTGTAAATATTTTACCCAGCCTTCCCAAAAACAGTCGAAAATAGAGAACAAACACATCATCTCACCACCAAAATTACGAGAGTCGTAGGAAAAAACCAAAAAATCTCCTTCGATGAATGCCCTGTCTTGGCAAAGGTGTTGCGTGACCGGCAAGGATTATTCTTTTTTTAACATCAAAAATATGTAAAAAAACTTCGGTCATCAAAAAAATTTAAAAAAATGGACCAGACCTGTTTACACTCGGGAAGGTCTGAACTTTACATAACATATTTTTTCGGTGGAAAAATGACTTCCGGCGTAGATTGAGTGCTTGGCGATGTAAAAAACAATTCATAGTGGATTCGAAATCGAATAACATCACAGTATGGGCAAATTGTAGGGGAAGATGACAAAAAAATCTGACTTCCAACTTTTCTCGAAATGGTAGAGCATAATATGGCGGATAAAAGTATGGTTTTCGACACACATTTTATTAACTAAATAGTAAAGATAATTTTTATAAAAAAACATTAACAAAACGCAAATTTTAACTAACAAAAAACGCGCCAATAAAATCGCCGGATAATTATGAATCAACCTAATAACACGACGACAGATTTTCTTCAAATTTTGCACACATGTTACTCATGGTTTACATATCAGTTCATGAAAGTTTTAGCTGGCGCTTTACAGGCGCCGCCGAGTTATTGAACGATCTTTGTCGCCAAGAGAGTACGCTAAACGTGGAGAGGTCAGAGAGAAAAACACTTTTTTCCCGCAACTTTGCTAGTTTCGTGTGGAAAAAGTTTGATTTTTGTAAAAACATCACCCTTTACGGTAGAAATCGGCATGAAACTTTTCGTGCCGAAATCCGACAAAAAGTCGCAAATTTTCGCCGACTTTCGATAAAAAAATCTCGGTTATTTCTGCAAAGCGCGAGCTAGGAGTCTCGCATACAGCTTAGAAAAAATATACTGAATTTGTACCAAGTTTGATCAAAATTGACCGTAGCACTTGGGGTACTTCCCCCGTGCGTTAAATTATAATTTATAAAGTAAATTTTCCATTCAGAATCAGATTGATTTCATTTTATTCCAGCAACTGGAGATTTCCTAATACACAGGAAACCCGCAATTCTTTCAATTTTTTTGAAATCCGCCAAAAAAACTTCGTCTCACAGCGAAATTTTGATTTCTGGCATTCTGCAACATTTGAATGGCAAACACGGCGCAGCTCGGGCGCAGATCGGCTCACAACGAGAAAAAATCCACGTTTCAAGTAAACAAGTTTTTGTTGGGCTTTGACAAGTTGCAAGTTGTCCATTGCAAGAACATCCTCTTTTCCGTCTTGTCTTACCTTATACTTGACAAAAACGTCGAAAAATCAATTTTTTCCCTCCTTTCCACGTAATCTGCATAACAATATTTCTGTTTTTATCATCTCCCATCTAATTATGCATATTTTTCTGCGGGCCATCGCAGAAAAATAACCGTTTCGCCAATAAAATCGCTCTTTATTTCTCCTCACTTTATCCGCTTTTTCGCCCGCCAAAACACGGCATCGAACCTTTCTAATTATCGCGTCTTCAATTATCCCTTCAATAGCTCGCTTCTCCACCTTTTTCATCGTCTTTTGAGCCTTCTGAGATCCAAAAAAGCCGAATTTTCTATATTATCCATGGCCAGCAAATTGGTCCGTGGTTTTTGACGCGTCAGCGGCTTGATGGGATATCGAAAGATCAGATCTTGAATTGGTTTGGCTTCCTGCTGCGGTCGGGAATGTTTTACGGCGATTTTGAGCTATTTTTTAGACGCGGAAACAGTTTTTCGCAATTTTTCTGGACTTTCGATGTTTTTGTTCGATGAAAACATTGAAAGTCTCGAAAATATTGACCTTTTATTGGTTCTAAACTACATTTTCGACTGTAATTTGCGGTTTTTAAGGCTTTGACTCCTGAAAAATAAAATAATTTATATTGATTTAGTCAAATTTTCTATTTTTTGTCTTGATTTAGGTATAAAGGGCTCTTTTTAGCTGGTTTTTTGTTATGCAGACCCTTGTTTTGACGTCTAATTATGCTTTCAAGACTTTTCCACGGATTTTTTATCTGTTCAATCTTCGAAAAAAGCCGAAAAAGAAGGGAGGCGCGAATTTTTTTTGGTTATACTTTTTTCGAGGTTGTGGTCGTTTTTCCGGGGTTGTGGTTGCCAAATCAATTCTCTCTTCATTTTCATTGGCTTTGAATTTTATTTGGGCTCTCTTTCTCTTATTTTCTCGAGTTTTTTACCGTTTATATTACTCTTGCCATGTGCAATATAATTTTTGAATTTTTTCTTGAAAAACTCATGTTTTTTTGGTAGTTTCAGGTCTCCAAATGTCCGAAATGGAGCCCGCTTGCTCCAGCAGCCAGCCCGACAACAGCCGAAGGCCCTATCAAATTGTGAATCCGCTGGTTGATGCTTTTCAAAATTTAAGCCACCAAATTGATCAGAACGCAAGCGCTTTTGACGATTACAAGTTCTCGGTGAATGTGAAGCAAGAAGAGGTCGAGCTGGAGCAACAGCCGGTCTGGATGCAGGAACCACCTGAAGTTGTGAGAGAAGAAATTCATCCAGATGTTGAAGTTGATTTGGATAGAACCAGGGAGATCTCGCCGGAAGCGGCGCCTGAACCGGTAAGAATCAGTTTGTGGAGCTTTGCATATTTATTTAGGCATTATTTGATGTTAAGATTGAGAAATTTATGTTGATCTAGGACATTTTTTGGTCATGGATAATATAAGTTTGTTGAAATATTTGGTCTGCTTGAGGTTAGATTGTATTATTAAAGCCTCTAAAGCCGTTAACGAATAATCTAAACCATAGTTGACTTCAAATGATGCCTAATATCCTTTTTGGCAAAAATTGTCATGGGTAATATAATCGTTGATGGAATCAACTTATTTTTGCTGTCTAATTGACAAAACGGAGTGTTACAATTGACATAGCTGCTATAAATCACAACTAGGATCTATTTTATCAGTAATTTCAACGCTCGCTTCTAGGCACCGCCTTCTGTAAATTTTACCGATATGGTTTGCAATTTTGTTTTGGAGTTCCTCCGTAAATCAAAGTACAAGTCCCACAAGATCAGATGGCCAGAAATCGAGGCTGACATAGTGAAAGCACACCCGCAATTGAAAGGCTCCAATAATCTGCGAAGTCGACTCTGGTGTGCGTGGTCGGCGGTGAAAACGTCGGCCATAAAGAAGAAAGAAAGAAAATCGTTGACTCAGGTAGGGGAAGAAGGGTGGTTATGATGATAGTAGGGAAGTTGTATAGTAAATGTATCTACAGGGTGCGGCAATTTTTCGGCCGGATTTGAATTGGCTATAACTTCTTTCGTTTTTATCCGAATGTTAAAATTCTTTTTTTCCCTGAATCCTCAGACAACCCCATTTTGTTTAATAGCAAATATGTTATATATAAAAGGACCTAGTTCATAGTTTTTGGCCTTTCGGTCGTTTTCTCTCCTTTTTCGGCATGTGTGAAGACCGCCAGAAAAAAATGACTTTCTTTACGAATTTTGTCGTAAAAAGTTTCATGCCTGTTCATGCCATGGAGAATACCGTTTCCACAAAAAATCAGCTATCTCCGCACAAAACTAGCGAAGATATAGCCAAAAAGTTTTTCTGTGTGACCACCCATGTGCCCTCCTGACCGCAAAGAATCGTTGAATATCTTGGTCGCCCCTGAAAGGTGCGGGCTGAAACTTTCAGGAATTGATGTGTGGCCTACGTCCGGCCCATGTGCAAAATTTAAAGAAAATCTGAGAGTCGCACTAGGGGTAATTCCATTGTCAGCTATGAAAATTAGAACTTTTTCTTTGTCTCGAATTTTTACTGTAGTCTAATGAACGGGTATAACATCTTTGGCAATAAACAAAATGGGGTTGTCTATGGATTCAGGGAAAAAAAGAATTTTAACATTTGCCTAAAAACTAAAAAAGTTATGGCCAATCAAAATCCGGCCGAAAAATTGCCGCACCCTGTATATCAAAGGCTTTATCGTAATATAGCACCTGCGATGTATTACAAACAAAAATTTATTCATAAATCCCAATTTCTAGTCAATTTATATCAAAAAATCTTCATTTCCGCCGAAAAAGAGGCGAACAAGTTCATAACTTGAACTTATTCTTCTGCCAGGGTCCTAAACGGTCTGTTACGGCGCTGTACTTGATCCAGTGGAACGATCCGCCACTGTAACAGACTGTTTACATGGGGAACCTGATCCAGCAGAAAAAACGAACTATTTTGCATCCGGGACGCATCAAAAATGTGGCAAAATGCTTCCCTCTCCAAGTGAAAAAAAACTCCAATTTCAAAAGCGCGCCCGCTCTTTTTGTGAGTGAAGCCCTTCAAAACGGTTTTTTTTCACTCGGAGAAGGAAGCATTTTGCCACATTTTTGATGCTTCCCGGATGCAAAATGGTACGTTTTTTGCCACTGGATCAGGTCCCCCAGTGTAGGTCTGTGACAGAAAAATAGGGGCTTCGGTAGTTCAGCCCCCCACGAAAGGTAGTTCAAACCCCCACTGTTTTGTCCGTTTCACACCCCACATAATGAACAAATTAGAATAATACAAAAAATGTAAGTGGGGGTTTGATCTACTACGTTGGGGGTTTGATCTAAAACGTAGGGGGCTTGAATGGACGAGGGGGGTTGTACTGGGTCATGGGGGGCTAAACTGGACTGGGGGGTTGTACTACCTTAGCCCCGAAAAATATTTTCAAGTTACGAATTTGTTCGACTCTTTTTCGGCGGAAATGAAGATTTTTTGATATAAATTGACTAGAAATTGGGATTTATGAATAAATTTTTGTTTGTAATACATCGTAGGTGCTATATTACGGTAAAGCTTTTGATGGAAAGGAGATTTTTTGATATAAATTGACTAGAAACTGGTATTTATGAACAAATTTTTGATTGTAATACATTGTAGGTGCTATATTACGATAAAGCGTTTGATACTAGTAGGAAAAAATCTTGGGCGATTTTTTTGCTGTAATTGTGGCATTTTTTGAGTTTTTTTAACGCTGATTTTTTCTAAAATTTTTATTTTTTTGTATTTTAGCGTGAGATGTTGATCCTGGAGGCTCTCCAGAAGTCTGAGAATTGCTCCAAACGACGGAAGAGTCGATCAGAAGTTCCATTAAGCCGTGTGGCGTGCGAAATGGCCGCTCCACATGCCAGATTCATGAAGGTCGCTGAAAAGGCCCATAACGAAAAGTTTTGGATTCAAATCGAGAGGGAGTTGCTGGCAAAATATCCAACATTCAAGGGGGAACAAAGGCTGAGGGAACGACTTCAAGCGGCTTTTTGGAGAGTGAGATGTACGGCATTGCAGAAACAGAAGAAGCAATTGGAACTGAACGAGGTAAAGGGGAGATTTTTGAGGTTGAAGTGGGATGGAAAGGGGCATATTAAACGATTGGAAACCAAAACTTTTAGTATGAGAAAATCACGATGCAAGTCCAAGAGCCCTCGCCGGACCCCAAGACGCCCACCCCGAAGACTGTGCCAAGAAGACAGCCGGCAAGGGATTCGTCAAGAAAATCGCTGAATTTGGAGACGAAAATTAAAAGGTCGTCGATTCAAAAAGATGGCGAGAGTGATGATGATATTATTTTTGTCGAAAGTGAACAACCGAACCAATCAGCAGCAAACGAAGTAAAGGAAAATGAACAAAATGTGACGTTCGATGGTAGAGGCCGGAAAAAGGTAAGAAGTTTTCTTGGGTTTGGGTTCTTACGATGAAATGGGAAGAATTAGGCTATCTGGGATGTGACTTGACGTCCTCCATGGCTGGGAAGGCATATTGCCCAAAAATGGGTAGCCGTCGTATACTACAGGGTCTTACAAAAAACGTGAAGGAAAGTGAAAGGCTATAACTTCCGGCGGAGGCGGTGCAGAGACTTCGTATTTGAAATATGTGTTTTTAAAAGACATAAGGTTTTGCCTACAAAATAACAAGCTCTTAAAGTGCAAACTGAGGTCGCTACGACCTTCTGAAGTAGAGGCATTTCTACCCCGAAAACCAGGTTTTTTCGGTTGAAAATGATCGAGAAATTTCGGACTTTTTCGGTTGAAAATCACCAAGAAATTTCGGATTTTTTTGGGGGTTTCTTGATATAGTCTTTAAGAAAACGTCGAAAAAATTGCAAAGTGTTCGCACTTTCCTCTTCTTTTTTCAACATCACCCACATTTCTTGGTGATTTTCAACCGAAAAATTCCGAAATTTCTCGATCATTTTCAACCGAAAAAACCGGGTTTTCGGGGTAGAGATGCCTCTACTTCAGAAGGTCGTAGCGACCTCAGTTTGCACTTTAAGAGCTTGTTATTTTGTAGGCGAAAACTTATGTCTTTTAAAAACACATACTTCAAATACGAAGTCTCTGCGCCGCCTCCGCCGGAAGTTATAGCCTTCCACTTTCCTTCACGTTTTTTGTAAGACCCTGTAGTGGATAAAATTTTCTTTCCACTTCGTGTATCGGGAACTTCTGGGCCTAGTAGAACCTGAAATTCGGTGTAGAAACGCTCTGGGACAATGTGACACCATAACCGAAAAATCATCATTTGATGCACTTTTTTACAAATTGCAGGAAATGATCAAAAGATGTGCATCAAATGGTATGATTTTTCGGGTATGGTGTCACATTTTCCCAGACCGTTTCTATTGCCGTTTTGGATATAAAATTGGCTGAGAAATGCATATGGAAAGATTTAATAGGCCTAATCAAGAAACGAGAACTCGGCTTGCTCAGCAGTTATGTTTTTTTACAGGGTTTTTTAGTTTTTTTTTTAAAAAATTGAGAAAATTTTTCAGCTGCCCGAAGACCCAGACTTCATTCGCATGGTCGTTGAAACAGTAGCGCCGTACGCGTCGCAGCTCAAAACGATAAAGCAACGCGGTTTTTCGTCAAATTATAATTTTAAAGTGTGGCTTCAAGTCGAGGAGGATGTTTTGAAAAAACATCCAGAACTGAAGAAAGTGAAAGATATTCGCAAAGTTTTGCGAATTGTATGGTACAAATGCAAAGATAGAGCAACAAAAATGAAGCGTGACGACAATATACCCGAGGTTAGAGCTTTTGGATTGAAAAAATTGACATGGAAAACTTGTATGGGGTATGGAGTTACAGGTCGAGACATACATCAAAAAAATCGCAAAATATTTCTGATTCAGAATATGTAAAAATTAGCTGCCTAATTTTGTTTTGAAAGGGCGAAAAAAGCCTCAGAACTCTTCTCTTAACACCACATAAATGTCCCTTTTTTTGTATTGGAACCACCAATTAAGGTGTAGTCTTAATCAAATTTGATATTTTAAGGCTTGTCAAAATGCCAAAGCTTTCGATTTGGTAAAAGCTTGGTCAATAAGGCATTTGCGTGGTGTTCCGAGAAAAGTTCTGACGGTTTTTTTCACCCTCACAGACCAAAATTAGGTAGCTAGTTTTTACATATTCTGAATCAGAAAAACTTTGCGAATTTTTTGATGTATGTCTCGACCTGTAACTCCATACCCCATAGAAGTACTCTCCTTGTGAAAAGAGGACGTTTTATACGGCGAAATTTGTTTCGTCGTATAAAATGTCTCTTTTTGTATTTTAGACTTAGGATTAATCGACGCCTTTTGCAGGTCTATAAAGTTGTTCTGGATGCAATGAAGAGGCCTCAGAAAGCTGAAGGCGCTCCAAAATCTTCGCCGAAGCGAACGCCATCCCCGCCGAAAAAGAAGCCAAGAAGGGCGAATGAAGTGGAAATTCATGATGTTGCAGTACCTCAAGAACCGCCAAGTCAAAATTTAATGGCTCGAAGTCCTGCAGTCGCAGTGGCAAACACCTCAGGAACCCTGGACCGCGGTTCTTTCCAAGAACAAGAGGCCTCGGACACGGTATCTAACCCACCAACCGGCAGTAATACCTCAAGGGCCAACAGTGTTGTGGTAAGGATTTTTCGATTATTAGGGGTTTAAATAGCCTTCCAGTTGCTTTGAGGGATGAGGAATCTTGTTGAGGAGAGGGAATAGGACTTTTCCAGGTGGTTTGACGACCTTGTTTTAGGGTAAAAATTGAATTTTTTTTATATGCCAAGTGTGTAAGGTGTGGGCAAGGTACTATTTGAAGTCGATAGAAATTTGTTGGTCAAAATACAGTCGGAGACCTGATCCAATTGCAAAAAACATACCATTTTGCATCCGGGAAGTGTCAAAAATGTGGCAAAATGCTTCCCTTTCCAGGTTAAAAAAACTCAGAGTTCAAAAGCGCGCCCGCTCTTTTTATGAGGGAGCCCTTCAAAACGGAGTTTTTTTTCACTTGGAGAGGGAAGTATTTTGCCACATTTTTGATACTTCCCGGATGCAAAATGATATGTTTTTTGCCACTGGATCAGATCCGTTACTGTAGTTGAAAAAGATTTTTATTTTCGGTTGAATATAAATTTTTTGAGTTAATTTTGTACTAATTTTCTTTTTTTTTAGACCGGCACAAAAGGTATGCCATTTTCGAACCTCCTCAAAGTCGTCGACTTCTGCAAGCGAACCAACCACGATTTCAACCTGGAAGGAGAGGAACTGGTATTCACGGATCGGGACAACCCAGCTCATAAACTCCGCTTCCCCATCGACCGAGTTGATCAGCTTGCGTAGTAAAAAGTTACAGAATTTTCGGTATTTTGTAATGTTTCCGGATCTCACGTGCTAGTAAATTTTTTTTCTGGGGTCCTTATTCGTTTTTCTCACTTGTTGAATAAATTTTGTTTTAAATTTTTTATGATTATGACTTTTTTTTGGATTTCACCCAGATTTTGATCAAATTTTGTATAACTAATTTCATATAACGATTGTGAGATTTTTTGTGATTCCCCGAAACATTTCAAGGTGATCACATGAGGCAGATTCACTAGCATTGCTTTCTGTCCTCTTTCCGTGCATTTCGGACCCCTTCTCCTTGTTTGGCCCCAACTTTTAGGCGCACAGTTCAATTCGAAACTTGCAGTATACCAATATAAGGCTTTTTTTTGTAAAATTTGTTTTGAAATGGCACTAAATTACCGGTTAGAATGGGGCAAAGGACAAATAACGGTGGTCACAAAAGTTCTCGACTTTTATTTTTGCTGTTGCGTTGAATTTCGGTGCAAAAATGGGTTGACATTGATTTTGAAAAATCAGTGCCAAAAAGCTTGAAAATTTGGGGAAAATCAGCGCAGATTTTGGAAAATTGCTGCAGGACGAAAATTAAAGTGTGTATTCAAAAGTATTGTCAACAGTGCACACTTTAATTTTCGTCCTGCGGCGATTTTCCAAAATCTGCTCTGGTTTTTACAAAGTTTTCGGGCTTTTTTGGCACTGATTTTTCAAAATCAATGTCAACCCATTTTTGCACTGAAATTCAACGCAACAGCAAAAATAAAAGTCGATAACTTCTGTGACCACCTTTATTTGCCCTTTGTCCCATTTTAACTGGTAATTTAGTGCCAGTTCAAAACAAATTTTTCAAACAAACTCCTTATATTAGCCTACCGCAAGTTCCGAATCGGGCTGTGCGCCTAAAATTTGGGGCTAAACAAGGAGAAGTGGCGCGGAAATGCACGGAAAGAGGACAGAAAGCAAGGCTAGAGAATCTGCCTGTTCTCTTTCCTTCCTCCCCGGAGAGAGACCGCTTTCTTTTCTCGCTGCCCCACTCGCCCCGAAAAGAACCGAATTCGGGACTTTGCTCTCTTGTCTCGGAAAGTGAAACTGCTTTTTGGAAGGGAAGGACGCTGTTTCCCTCCTCGGCGAGGAGCGTGTTTTTCAGTTCCTTTTCGCCGCAAATTTTGGAATATCGTTTGTAATCTTTGAGTATTTTGAATTGAAATGGGGGAAAAATTAGAAAATCTGTCGGTTTGAGATAGTTGTTTGAGATTTATGAGTAAAGAAAATTATTATTTTTTGGGTTTTGAGAGGCCTTTTTTACTTTTGTAAATGAGTCTGACTTGAAACACTTTCAAACAGAGAAAGAGTCTAAATTAGGCTTCTTGAAGTGTCAGTCACGTTCTGAAATTGCTGTCAATTTTGCATATCAAATTGTTCTGTCATCTTGACTGTCAAATTGAATTTTTTTGGAAAATTTTTGTAGGTTTTTGCTAAACACCCATAAAAATGGAAAATTCTTAGAAACTAAATTGGTCCTTCTTGTCAAAACAGCCGAGTTCTTCAACGGTCTTTGCGGCTGAGAGAGTACGCGAAACGCGGAGAGCGGTCAGAGAGAAAAACACTTTTTTGGCCATAACGTTGCCAATTTTGGATGAAAAAAGTTTATTTTTTTCTGGAAACATCACTCTCAGCAATAGAATTAGGTATGAAACTTTTTGTGGCAAAATTCGGTGTCAATTTTTTACCAAATTTCGATTAAAAATCTCGGTTATTTCTGCAAAACGCGAGCTAGGATTCTCGCATATAATTTAGAAAAAATTATTCTAAATTTGTGCGAAGTTTCATCAAAATCTGAGCGTCGCACTTGAGGTACTTCCCCTGTAAATTGAAAACTCTGATATACGGAAGTTAACATAGCTATCATAAATACTGTTAATATTAGTCATAAGTTGTTTTACTGCTTATTTCATCGGTCGTTTGGACAAGAAGTCCAAAAAATTTCGTATTACAGTGGGGGACTTGATCCAGTGGCAAAAAACGTACCATTTTGCATCCGGGAAGTATCAAAAATGTGGAAAAATGCATAAAATGCTTCCTTTTTCAAGTGAAAAAACTTCGTTTTGAACGACGCGCCCTTTTTCCTCACAAAAAGAACAGGCGTGCTTTTGAAATCTGAGTTTTTTTCGCTTGGAGAGGGAGGTATTTTGCCACATTTGTGATACTTCCTGGATGTAGAATGGAACGTTTTTTGCCACTGGATGAGGTCCCCCACTGTAGCAATTTCCAAGCGTTTCTCTAAAATTATCTTCAATTTTCAGATGGCGGAGGCTCCTTCTCCTCCTCCATCGTCCCAATTTGACGAGGACCCGAACAAAGTCGACGAGGAGGACTCGAACAAGATCGACGAGGACCCAAACAAGCTCGACGACGACCCGAAAAATGACTCCTCCGACAAGGCAAAGGACGAAAGTTCGGATTCCAAAAATCTCCGCCGCCGCAAAAAAGAACACTTGATTCGAAGGCCAATCCCGGCGTTTAATGATGCCGTTTTCAAATTTTTGATCCCGTATGCAAGATATTTGGGACACAAGACGATCAAAAAGGGCGCCTACTACGATCAGATTCAGAAAGAGCTGATCGAGAACTACCCTCAATTTGACGGGCCCAGAGTTCGTTCCAGAATTCAAGTGGCGTGGAATAAGTACAAATCTGATGCCGAGAAGAAGTATTTTGATAAACGGGTCCTGAATAAGGTAAGTCAGAAGTTGACAAAGCAATTTTTTTCACAAGGAAATTACTTCTATGGGGCACGGAGTTACAGGTCGAGAGATATATCAAAAAATCGCAAATTTTTTCTGATTCAGAATATGTAAAAATTAGCCGCCCAATTTTGGCTTGTATGGGCGAAAAAATCATCAGAACTTTTCTGACACCACGCAAATGCCTTTTTGACCAAGTTTTTACCAATTCGAAAACTTTGTTTTGAGCTACAGTAAACCCTTCACAAGCCTTAAAATATCAAATTTGACTAATACTACACCTTAATTAGTAGTTCTTTTTGTATTGGAACTGCTATTAAGGTGTAATATTAAAATAAAATTTGATATTGTAAGGCTTGTCAAGATGCCAGGGTTTACTTTAGCTCCAAACAGAACTTTTGAGTTGGTAAAAACTTGGTCAAAAAGGCATTTGTGTGGTGTTTCGAGAAAAGTTCTGAGGATTTTTTTCGCCCTTACAAACCAAAACTGGGCAGCTAATTTTTCCATATTCCGAATCAGAAAAAATTTTGCGATTTTTTTTTGATATATGTCTCGACCTGTAACGCTATGCCCCATAGAAGTATTCTCCTTGTCAAAAAAAGTCAAATGGTGCCGTACGAGTACTGCTTTTTTCCGATTTTTTAATAAGCATGTGCTCTATTCTCCCGTTTTCAGCGCGACCGTATCGTCCTCAAAGCTCTCGGCTACCGTCTAGATTATCAGAATCTAAGAAGACCGTCCGAAGAGCTTCAACATCTCCCCAAAAACCCCGCATATAACAACACATGGACCGCCGCTATTTGCGACATCATGGAGCCGTTCGTTACGAAGATGAAGTGCGGCAAAGACGAGGAGACGGACCGACTTTGGGGTGTAATCGTGGAGAAAGTCGCCGTGCAATTCCCGGAGCTCCGCGAAGAGCCGAAATTGAAACGCCGATTGCAGTGTCTGTTCCGCAACTTCCGATATCGAGCACTGCGAAGGAAGCAGAGGGGGAAGGTGTTGAGTGATGTAAGTGCAAGATGGTTCGGCGACAAACAGTGGAAAAAATCAGGATCGAGCGACAGCCCAAACAAACTTTTTGCACCGTGCAAAAAGCAAGAAATTGCACAGTGCAAAGTGAACTTTTGTTTTCGCACCGTGCATGCCGCGGAAATCGCTCCAACGACTTTGCGAACCCCCGACTTTTTGCACTGTGCATTTGAAATATCGCTGTGACGCAAGCTCTTCCCAACTGCGTCGCTGCGATTTGGCTCAAAAATGTGCACAGTGCAATCGGCTTTTTTGAGGTTTGCACGGTGCACAAAGGCAAAAATCCACAGTGCGTTAGCGACAAAAATTCAAGATGCACTGTGCGAAAGCGAAAAGATGTGCAGAAAAATTTTGCTTTCGAATTTTCGAAACGTTTTGCACTGTGCAATTTCTTCTCGCCCGCCCAAAATTCGCGGCGGCTCCGTTGAGAAAAGCTTGCGTCGCTGCGATATTGAACTTGCACGGTGCAGAAGTTCAAATGCACGCCGCAAAAAGGGGCTTTGTGAGCGGTGTGTCCCACGGCAAAAAGTCTACGCACTTTCTGGAACGACTTGTCGTGCCTGAAAAAGTCGTTGTATTACGATTTTTCAAAAGTGCGTAGACTTTTTGTCGTGGGCCACACCGTGCACAAAACTTTTTTTGCGGCGTGCATTTGACCTTTTGCACCGTGCAAGTTCAATATCGCAGCGACGCAAGCTTTTCTCAACGGAGCCGTCGCGAATTTTGGACGGGCGAGAAGAAATTGCACAGTGCAAAATGTTTCGAAAATTCGAAAGCAAAATGTTTCTGGACATCTTTTCGCTTTCGCACAGTGCATCTTGAATTTTTGTCGCTAACGCACTGTGGATTTTTGCCTTTGCGCACCGTGCAAACCTCAAAAAAGCCGATTGCACTGTGCAAATTTTTGAGCCAAATCGCATCGACGCAGTTGGGAAAAGCTTACGTCGCAGCGATATTTCAAATGCACAGTGCAAAAAGTCGGGGGTTCGCAAAGTCGTTGGAGCGATTTCCGCGACATGCACGGTGCGAAAACAACGGAGCACGAAACTGGCACTTTGCGGCGCGAAAAAAGGCCGAAAAAAGTCTACGCACTTTTGAAAAAGCGTAATAATAACGTCGCACCTCAAACCAAAAAAAAATTTTTTTACCAAATTTTTTATCAAACAGTTTCCAGCACATGGAAATTGCGTGCAAGTATGGTGGCGCAGGCTCAGAACAAAGCCCGATGGAGATTGATGACTTTGAAGATCCCATAGATGATGACCCACTGGATGAAGACGAGAACAACCGCATCAACCTATCCCTCTCCTACAATGTCACGGTGAGCTCCGCAATCTGCGAAGCCCTCGCGCCGTACATTAAGCAGATGAAGTTTGGCCGAGACAAGGAGACGGCCCGGCTTTGGGATGTGGTCGTACAAAAAGTCGCCGACCAATTCCCCCATCTCAGCGAGGAGCAGAAGTCGAAACGACGCATTCGCAGTCTGTTCAAAGACATTAGAAAACGAGCGCTGCAGCGAAAGGCCGATGGGAAGCCGTTGACTGAAGTAAGTGGGAAATATTTTCTGTCGTCCAGAAAGTTCGTTCGTTTTTTCCTTGCTTTCTTTTACAAGGATTGTTTGTTCTTTGGCAAATGGAATATATTTATTTGATACAGCTTTTTCTCCTCTACAAAACTGGCTGTATCAAATAAATATGTGCCCTTTGCCAAACAACAAACAATCCTTGTAAAACAAAGCAATGAAAAAAACGAACGAACTTTCTGGACGACTTAATATTTTTTTCGCGGCGAGTCGTAGCACCATTTTTTTCAGCACCAAGAAATTGCCTGTATGTATGGTGGCGGAGGCACTGAAAAAAATCAACCCGAATTTGACATGGAAGACCCACTAGAGGATGAGCCTCTGGAAGAAGGCGAGATTCGCTGTAATTCACCAAAACCGAAGAAGCTCAAGGTTTCTTCCGACCTTCTCAGACATTTCGGATCTTCCGAGTCCCCAGTGACCTCCAATGTCAAAGACGAGGATTTGGAAGAAGATCCCGAAAATGGGCTCGATGACGCGCCGAGTCGGATGGGATCAGCAGAAGCGGCTGGGAGGTGGGGCAGAGAAGACAGCGAGGAGAATGAGGATGACCTAGGGTCATTCTCGAGCTTCGAGCCGGAATTCAGAGACGACACGGCTTCGCCAAATGAAACGGTAAGTATAATACAGTGGGAGACCTGATCCAGTGGCAAAAAACGTATCATTTTGCATCCAGGAAGTATCAAAAATGTGGCAAAATGCCTCCCTCTTCAAGTGAAAAAAACTCAGATTTTGCGCCCTTTTTCCTCACAAAAAGAGCGGGCGCGCTTTTGAAATCTGAGTTTTTCACTTGGAGAGGGAGGTATTTTGCCACCTTTTTGATACTTCCTGGATGCAAAATGGTACGGTTTTTGCCATTGGATAGGTCTGTCACTTCATTTATGGCCGGGACTTATAAATTTTTGTGTGTACAGAAATTGTGTCACGATGACACAGCTTTAAAATGTGCCAGCGGTATAAAAAACTAGCTTTATATGGCTATGAGTACTCCTTGGGCTGCCCACAAAAAAATTAGGTTCAAAACTTTTGCAGTTCTCAATTTGGATGACGGGGTTTCAGGATTTTTTTCATGTTGTTTCAATTTTTTCTCATCGAGAAGGTTTGTGCTCAAGAAAGAAATGAAACAATATGAAAAACTCCAGAAAATCCATCACCCAAATTGAGAATTGCAAAAGTTTTGGACTTAATTTTTGTGGGTATTCCAGGGAGTACTCCTAGCCATGTACAGACGTTATTTATGCCACTGGCACATTTTAAACCGGTGTCATTGTGACATATTTTCTGGACACCCAAAGATTTGTAAGCCCCGAGCCATATATCATCATTCCTGAAAATTTCAGTTTACGATGGAAAAAGAGCGCTCCGCCGCTCCATCCTCCCGGTTCGACGAGGACGACTCAAACGATGACTCCTCCGACAGTGAATGGCGCGACTCCCCGCAGAACGCTCAGTCGTCGGCGTTGGACGACGCGACCACCTCAAAACCAACCCCCGCCATCCACGATGCCGCCTTCGAGTTCATAATCCCATACGCAAAATATTTGGCAAGCAACGCGTCCAACAAGACCAAGTATTACGACCTAATTCAACAATCAATGCTCAAAAAGTACCCGCAATTCGAAGGCCCCCGACTGCGGACTATGATCCAGTCCGCGTGGAGTAGTCATAAAGCCACAGCCCTGAAAAGGTATTACGGTAAATTGGTGCTGAATAAGGTAAGTCGGAGAAGGAAGGGCCGATAAGGTTTCTGAATGGGAGGTGGTTTTGACCATGGTATCTGTAGCTACTTATGGAAAAAAAGATATAAAGCAAAGTCATGATACAGTGACGGACCTGATCCAGTGGCAAAAAACGTACCATTTTGCATCTGGGAAGTATAAAAAATGTGGCAAAATGCTTTTCTCTCCAAGTGAAAAAACTCCGATTTAAAAAGCGCGCCCGCTCATTTTGTGAGGGAGCCCTTCAAAACGGAGTTTTTTACTTGGAGAGGGAAGCATTTTGCCACATTTTTGATGCTTCCTGGATGCAAAACAGTACGTTTTTTGCCACTGGATCAGGTCCCCCACTGTAGAACAACCGAAAAATCTCAAAGCGAAGGTGTTTTATCTCTCACCGCTCTCCCCATTTTTCGTACTCTCTCGTATGAAGATATCGTTGAATATAAAGGTGGTCACCGAATTTCTCGACCTTTATTTTCTCTGTAGCGTCGAATTTCAGTGCAAAAATGGGTTGAAATTGATTTTGAAAAATCAGTGCCAAAAAAGGTCGAAAATTTGGAAAAACCAGTGCATTTTGGGATGATGATTTGAAAAATGATTTCACACTTTAATTTTCGTCCTACAACGATTTTTCAAAAAAATATGCGTTAGTTTTTCCCTAATTTTTGATCTTTTTTGGCACTGAACTTTCAAAATGAATGTCAGCCCATTTGTGCACCGAAATTCGACCCAGCAGCAAAAATAACAGTCGAGAACGTCGATGACCACCTTTATATTCAACGATATTTTCATACGAGAGAGTGCGGAAAATGAGGAGAGCGGTTAGAGATAAAATTCCTTCGCTTTGAGATTTTTCGATTTTTTAATAATCAGGTGCTCTACAGTGGCGGACCTGATTCATTGGCCAAAAACGTACCATTTTGCATCCGGGAAGTATCAAAAATGTGGCATAATGCTTCCCTCTCCAAGTGAAAAAAACTCCGATTTCAAAAGCGCTTTTCTGTGAGGGGAAGTGCGCCCTTCAAAACGAAGTTTTTTCGCTTGGAGAGGGAGGCATTTTGCCATATTTTTGACACTTCCCGGATCCAAAATGATAAGTTTTTTGCCACTGGATCAGGTCCCTCACTGTATTCTCCCTTTTTCAGCGCGACCGTATGGTCCTCAGAGCTCTTGGCCATCGTCTAGATGAGCAGCATTTAAGAATACCGTGCGAGGATCGTCAAGACCTACCCAAATCCCCTGCCTACAACAACACATGGACCGCCGCCATCTGCGAAGCCATGGAGCCGTTCGTTACGAAGATGAAGTGCGGCAAAGACGAGGAGACGGACCGACTTTGGGGTTTGATCGCTCAGAAAGTCGCCAAACAATTCCCGGAGCTCCAAGCGGAGAAGAAATTGAAACGCCGACTGCAGACTATTTTCCGCAACTTTCGAACCCGGGCGCTGGCGAGAAAGGCCTTGGGGAGGGCGCTGACTGATGTAAGTGTGAAATTTGAAGCATAAATTTTTCATATAAAAATCTATATTTTGTAAAAAGAAATTGGACAAAAAGATATAAAAATCGGAAAAAATTTTTGGTTCACCCTAATATCAGGAAATTTTCAGCATCAAGAAATTGCCTGTTTGTATGGTGGCGAAGGCGCTGAAAAAACCCAACTTGAATTTGCTGCGGAAGATGATCCCATGGAAGAAGACGAACAAGGTCAAACTCGCTCTCACTCGTGTCCAAGAAGGCCATCGGAAGCCCGTCAAACTTCACCGAAGTCCCATGAATTTATGCCATCGTTGAGCACCGCCGTCTGCGAAGCCATCGAACCATACGTGGCGAAGATGAAGTTCGGCCGAGACAAGGAGACGGACCGACTTTGGGATGTGGTCCTCAAAAAAGTCGCCGAAAAATTCCCGAATATCAGCATGACGTACCAATCGAAACGACGGATTCGCAGTCTATTCCATAACATCCGAATCCGAGCCATTGGCAAAAGGGCCCGCGGACAGCCGTTGACTGTAGTAAGTGGGAAATTTGTATTGAAATTAGCAGGGAAATCATCAAAAAGTCGATCAAAATAGGTATACAGTGGGGGACCTGATCCAAAGGTAAAAAATGTACCATTTTGCGTCCGAGAAGTATCAAAAATGTGGCAAAATGCTTCCCTTTCCGGAAGAACTACAGTAACGAAAAATTTTGGAACTTTTGATTCGAGACATACTACAGTGGGGGACCTGATCCAATGGAAAAAATGTACCATTTTGCATCCAGGAACTATCAAAAATGTGGCAAAATGCCTCCCTCTCCAAGTGAAAAAACTCCGATTTCAAAAGCGCGCCCGCTCTTTTTGTGGGGAATTTTTTTAAACGGAGTTTTTTTCACTTGGAGAGGGAAGCACTTTGCCACATTTTTTATACTTCTCGGACGCAAAATTATACGGTTTTTGCCACTGGGTCTGGTCCGTCACTGTAAATGTTTTTATGACCACTTTTTCCATGTTTTTTGCCAACAATTTCATATCAAAAATGTGGCAAAATGCCTCCCTCTCCAAGTGAAAAAACTCCGATTTCAAAAGCGCGCCCGCTCTTTTTGTGGGGAATTTTTTTAAACGGAGTTTTTTTCACTTGGAGAGGGAAGCACTTTGCCACATTTTTTATACTTCTCGGATGCAAAATTATACGGTTTTTGCCACTGGGTCTGGTCCGTCACTGTAAATGTTTTTATGACCACTTTTTCCATGTTTTTTGCCAACAATTTCATATCAAAAATGTGGCAAAATACCTCCCTCTCCAAGTGAAAAAACTCCGATTTCAAAAGCACGTCCGCTGTTTTTGTGAGGGAGCCATTCAAAACGGAGTTTTTTCACTTGGAGAGGGCGGTATTTTGCCACATTTTTGATGCTTCCCGGATTCAAAATGGCACATTTTTTGCCACTGGATAAGGTTAGTCACTGTAAATGGTTTTTTGACCACTTTTTCGATTCTTTTTGTCGAAAATTTCATATCAAAAATGTGGCAAAATGCTTCCCTATCCAAGTGAAAAAACTTCGCTTTGAAGAGCGCCCGCTCTTTTTGTGAGGGAGCCCTTCAAAACGGAGTTTTTTCACTTGGAGAGGGCGGTATTTTGCCACATTTTTGATGCTTCCCGGATTCAAAATGGCGCATTTTTTGCCACTGGATTAGGTCTATCATTTGTAATTGCTTTTTTGACCACTTTTTCGGTTCTTTTTTCCGAAAATTTCAAGGCAGTATAGCGAGAAAAACGTTTTTTTTTTGCCTAACCCATCTTTTTCAGCACCAAGAAATTGCGTGCAGATATGGCGCCGAAGTCGGCGAACAGAACCAAATGGAACTTGATCTGGAAGACCCCATGGACGACAGCCTTCTGGATGAAGCCGAAATGAGCTCCAACAACACTCACGAAACAGAAATTATCAAGGTTTCTACGGACAACCGATATCACGGACCCTCGAAGGCCCCACTAATTTACATTGTCAAGAAAAAGAATCAGCCAAAAAGTAGGCTCGACAGCGACGCGTCAGATCGCAGCCAAATCACCTTGAATTCCCTTGTGGAGTCGGCAAAGGCACCAGCAGAGCCGGCTGGAATGTTGGCAGGAAAAGAAGGCGAGAAAAGGCAAGATGAACCAGGACCCTCGTCCAGCCTGGAGCCGGAATGCAGAACCGACACGGCTTCGCTAACGGAAGCGAATAGTTCGGTGAGTAGTTTTTTCGGGCCACATAGGCTTCATTGAAGCCTATGTGGCCCTCTGATCTAGAAGACTTGTCTGTCGAAAAAAACCCCATAATAAAGTCGAAGAGGCCCTTTTTTTATTTTTACTGATGTTCCGAAGGCCCCTCGACCGAAGAGGCCCCCTTGTAAAATTTAAAAAATCAAAGTGAGAGGTGACATGTCATACGATGAAACATTTTACTAAATAGTTTTTTTTTCAAAATCGGAGGTGAGATTTTACTATTTATTTACGAATTAGCTAGTAACAGTTATGGTAAAATTCGACCAAAGATTGAGATAAATATAGCTCAGCAGCACTTTTTGAAGAGTTACAAAAAATTTGCATCGTATAAAATCTCACCTCTCATTTTGATTTTTTAAAAATTTTTTTATGAAGGAGTCGTCTTTAGTCGAGGGGTCTCTTCACAATTTTTGTGAAAATAAAAAAGAGCCTCTTCGACTTTCTTAGGGGGCTTCTTTCGGCCTCCTAGGAGCTTTTTGGGCTAAAAAAATTGCATCGTATAACATGTCGCCTCCTATTTTGATTTTTTTTTAATAAAGGAGTTCTCTTCGGTCAAGGGGCCTCTTCGGAATTTTCGTGAAATTTTAAAAGGGCCTCTTCGACTTTTTTAGGGGGCTTCTTCGGCCGAGAGGCCTCATAGGACCTCGTCGGGATAAAAAAATGCATCGTATAACATGTCACCCCTCATTTTGAGATGTTTTTTTACTTTTATTCTAGGTCAAGGGGGCCTCTTCGGCTACAACGTTTTTTTTTTTTGATTTTGGTTTACAGATAACAGACATCAATTATAATATATTCCTGTTTTCAGCAGAGCGCCAAAAGCCTCCCTCTGTCCCAATGGCTGAAAATTGTGGACTTTTGTCAACGCGCCAATCAGGACTTCTACCTGGAGGGAAATCATCTCGTTTTCACCGACCGAAGCCGTCGCGAAAAGGTACTTCGAATCCCAATGGATCGAGTGTGCCTCGAATAAAGCTAAAACTGTTATTATATTTTATATTGTACGGGGTATTATGCATGTGTGAAATCTCAGTCAGCAATGACAATAAACAATTTATTTTTTTTTATTTTTTTGTTATTTTTTGAGCTATATTGGGTGGATTCCCCAAACTTTAAGTTCGGATTTTTTTATACAGATTGATTATCCTATGAAAATTTTTTGTCATGTCAAATTTTTCTGTCATTTTGATTGCTAAATTGAACTTTTTGTGGAAAATTTTTGTAGATTTTTGCTAAAAAGGAAGGTATTTCTATGGGGAATGGAGTTACAGGTCGAGACATATATCAAAATTTGCAAAATTTACCTGATTCGGATTGTGTAAAAATTAGGTGCCGAATTTTGGTTTGTAAGGGTGAAAAAATCCTCAGATCTTCTCTCGCAACACCACGCCTTTTTCACCAAGTTTTTACCAAATCAAAAGCGTTGTTTTGAGCTAAAATAAACCTGGCATCTTGACAAGCCTTAAAATATCAGTCTGTCGGAAAAATAACGGCGGATCGTCGCATCGAAATGTCTCGCCTCGCCGCTATCGCGCACCAAATCCCAAGCCGCCGCTTGCAGTCGCAAAGCGATGATGGGCGATTCCGAGGCGCGACGATCCGCCGTTTTTTTCCCGAAAGACCGATATCAAATTCGGTTAATACAACACCTTAATTATTAGTTCTAATTGCCGTCATTTTCGTCATGTAAAATTTTTCTGTCATTTTAATAGCGAAATTGAACTTTTTTGGAATTTTTTTTCATTTTTACAAAAAAAAAATCGTAAAGATTGAAAATTTTTAGGAACTAAATTGCTCGTTCTTGTAAAAAAACCGATGAAATGAGCAGTAAGACTAGTGACGACTAATACTAACGATATTCATCATAGTCTATGTTATATTCTTGGTATACCATGCTTTTCAATCTAGCCAAAATGACGTCATTTTTAAAAATTATGTCAAATTAAAAACCCTGCAGCATTAAGACTTTGAATTTCTTGCGATTTCAAAACAAACTTTCCGACCCAAAAATTTTCGTTGGCCTCGCACAAACCGCGCGAATTCCAAGCGGAGCTGTGCGCTCGAAAATTGGGGCGAAAAAATGTTGGAGCGGAGGGGGCGAGAAAATGCACGAAGAAATATAGGACAGAAAGCAAAGCTGAAAATCTGTCTTTTTCTTTTCCCCCCGTGGTCGTCCGCGGCGGGAGAACCCCCACACTCGTGTTTCTCGCCGCCCGACTCGCCCCGAAAAGAATTGAATTCGGGGCTTTGCTCTCCGTCTCGGAAAGCAAAATTGCTTTCTGACGAAAAAAATATTTTTTTCACTCGAAAGGACGCCCTTTCCCCCCACTTCGACGGGCGCGTTTTGAGTTCCTTTTCCCTGCAAAATTTCCGTATATCCTTGGGAATCTTGGCGTATTTTTGGTTTTAAACGCCGGGAAATAGTCTCGTTTTGCTTGGGAATTTGACGGGATTTTTTGGAAATGACGTCATTTTTGTCATTTTGGCTGGATTTTTGAATTTCTCCACTTGGAATTGGCGCGATTTGCGGGGCCAACGAAAATTTTTGGTTTGGAAAAATAAAATTTGTTTTGAGATCGCAAGAAATTCAAAGTCTTAATGCTTTAGGGGTTTTAATTTGACATAATTTTTAAAAATGACGTCATTTTGGCTAGATTTAAAGGCATATTATACGAAGAGTATAACATAGAGTTTGATGAATATCGTTAATATTAGTCGTAACTAGTCTTACTGCTCATTTCATCGGTTTTTTGACAAGAAAGAGCAATTTAGTTCCTAAAAATTTTAAATTTTTACGATTTTTTAGCAAAAATCAACAAAAATTTTCCAAAAAAAGTTTAATTTGACTGCCAAAATGGCAGAAAAATTTGACACGACGAAAATGGCGGCAATTTGATAACGTCACTGAAGTGTTAAGTTGACGATTTAGCAACCATAACTAGTCGCGCCATAAAGTCCCGACACTCTTGCACTTGCGCTTTTTTCTTTTTTTCGGACCCCGATTTCCCCTTTTTGCACTAGCCACATGCACTTTCGCGCCAGCTCACCCCCAATTTTCGCGCGCGATATCCGCGATAAAGCGCCGGGACTATGGCTCGGCTAATAGCTATCGCGGCACTAGAAAATATGAACATCGAATCCAAATAGTTTTTGGGAGGTTATAAAAAACCCGCCACTATTTTCCCGACAGACTTATATTAGGTCTAGAAGTATGACTTTGTCGTTTTCTTGTTTTGCGTTTTTCACAGGTTGAGATAAAATTTCGTAATTTCTGTTTAGAGCATATGAAAGAACGCTGAAAACGCTATCTACTGGTATATGTTTCATGTGGTAGGGCTTTATATCACGACTTTTATAAAGCTTCCAATATGACCAACTTCGCCTTAAGAAAATGTCGTTTGCGGGAAACTTTATTCTGCACGTGTAATGTGAGGAAAAACGCCGATGACGCATCAAGCGCTCATTATAGCTTATGTTAATCGCGCTTCGTTTAAAAAAATCAGTTGGGAATGGCTTCAACGGTTCAAAACCGGAGATCTCCAAACCCACCTTAAAAGTTGTTAGATGGAGAATATTGGTTAAAGCCGACGCCCGGATGCAGTAATAGTTAGCCGAAAAGCTGAACGTGACGCAGTAAGGAGTTTAACTCAGTTTGCATCAAATGGGAATGATCCAAACGGAAGGGACTTGAGTCTCATATGGATTGACCTAACGCAACATGGAGAATATGCAAAATTTTGACAGACAGACGGGAAGAAAGGCATTTCTGTATCATTTAGTGTTCAGAGACGAATAATGGATCGATTTTGACAACTACAAGAAAAAGCGACCGTGTCTTCCAACATTACCGAGAAGAAAGTTTTGCTCTGTATAATATGACATAAACAAGATGTTCTTTACTGAGAGCTCTTGAAAACCGGTAGAACGGTTACTGGTATCCGTTATCAACAATAGCTGATGCAACGGAAGCAATAGCGATGATTAAAGCGGTCGGAAAGAAAAATTTTTATTTTGCTGCATGATGACGCCAAACCCCATGTTGAAAAACCGGTCGAAAACACCCTAGAACCGCTGAGTTGGGCGGTGTTCGCGCACCCGCTATACTCTCCGGACACCGTACTTTCGGACTAACACTTGTTTCGATCGACGACACTCGATCTGAGGCCGCAACGCTTCGCTGAATACAAAAATGTCAAAAATTGGCCCGATGACTAAATCGCCTCAAAACAAAAAAACGTTTTCACTGATGGTAAAAAAAAGTTGGTAAAATTGTTGAAAAATGTCGTAGTTAGTAGTGGTAATAATAATTAAATAAGCTTTAGTGTAAAGTTTTTTGTTTTAGTTTAAATTATGAGCCGCAAAAAACGACAAAGTCATACTTCTAAACCTAATAGAAAAGTAGGCTCTAAATTTGAGCCAATTTTACATCCAGCTCCGTTTGCTACGTGTGAAATATAATACTAGTCGGCTCGTAAAGTCGCTGGAGTGATTTTTGGCGTTTGCACTGTGCAGAAAAAGTCAGAGAGACAGTCCGAAAAAGCCTATTGCATGGTGCAAAAAAGCTAGAATTTGCACAGTGAAAAGTGAACTTTTGTTTTTGCACAGTGCATGTGGTCAATATCACTTCAGCAACTTTCCGGGCGACAAGTACAGTGGGGGACCTGATCTAGTGGAAAAAACGTATCATTTTGCATCCGGGAAGTATCAAAAATATGGCAAAATGCTTCCTTCTCCAAGTGCAAAAACTCCGTTTTGAAGGGCTCCCTCAAAAAAAGAGCGGGCGCGCTTTTGAAATCGGAGTTTTTTCACTTGGAGAGGGAGGTATTTTGCTACATTTTTGATACCTCTCGGAAGCAAAGTGGTACGTTTTTTGCCACTGGATCGGGACCCCACTGTATATGGTAAAATACGAGCACTATTCCATATAAATACTTTTCTATTAGTTTGTCGGGAAAATAGTGGCAGGTTTGTTATAATCTCCCAAAAACTATTGGGAGATTATAACATGTTCATATTTTCTAGTACCGGGCTAGCTACTAGCCGAGCCAATATTTCCCCAACAGGCTTTTACAATTTTGTAACTCCCTCATAGGCAATTTGAAAACTCTTTCTCTGAGATTACCATGCGAATTTTAGATGGCCAACGATCATTCTCCGGCTCCGTCGTCGCAGTTCGACGACGACTCGAACGACTACACCTGCGAGAAGGTGAAGGGCGAACCGTTGGACCTGGAAGCGCTCCTCTCCTTCCAAAAAACCCAATCCTCGGCGTTGGAGGAGGTGAACTACCTGTTCGGGAAGCCGCTCCCCTCCCGAACCGGGCCCGGCCATCAGTTCCATAACGCTGTTTTTGAATTGATCATCCCGTACGCCAAGTATTTGGGAAACAAGGCGACCAAACGACAGTATTACGATTTGATTCAGCGGGAAGTGGTGAAGCGCTACCCCGAATTCAGAAGCCCCAAACTTCGAGTCAACATTCAAGCGTCGTGGAGTCGCTACAAATTGCTGGCCGAGAAAAGGTATTTCGACAAAGCACCGCTGAATAAGGTAAGTGGACACTTGTAACTCCATACCCCGTCGAAGTATTTTCCTTCTAAAACATAGCGGGTTTTTAGATTTTTTGGCAAGGATCTTCTAAAAAAGTAGTACTCCTCTAAAAATTTTTCAGCGCGACCGCATGATCCTCGAAGCTCTCGGGCACCCGCTGGATGATCCGGACCCAAGAAGACCGTCTCCAACCCCACCCAAATCCCCCGCCTACAAGAACACGTTGAGCGCCGCCATCTGCGAAGCCATTGAGCCATTTGTCACAAAAATGAAGTTCGGAAGAGACGAGGAGACGGACAGACTTTGGAGTGTGGTCGTTGAAAAAGTCGTGGAGCAAATCCCGGAGCTGCGGGGTGAGAAGCGGTTGAAACGACGCATTCAGAATCTGTTTCGCAACATCAGAAGTCGCGCGCTGCGGAAAAAAGCCATGGGCAAGGTGTTGACTGAGGTAAGAACGAAATTTTTGTTGAGAATATGAGCGAAAAAGCCGAAAATTTTTGTTTTCATGGCATAGCGAGACCACATATGGCTCGGGACTTATAAATCTTTGTGTGTCCAGAAAATGTGTCATGATGACACTGGTTTAGAATGCGCCAGTGGTATAAAAAAATGGCTGTATGAGGTTAGTAGTACTCTCTAGAGCAAGTAAAAAAAATTTTGGACATTGAAAAGCTTGGGAGAAAAAATCCAGAAAATCCGTCATCCAAAATTGTGGATTAAAGCAGTTTTAAAATTTGAATTTTTTTGTAGTTGCTCTAGAGAGTACTCCTAGCCATATAGAGCCGTTGTTTTTACCATTGGGACATTTTAAACCTATGTCATCGTGACACATTTTCTGGACACAATCAGATTTATAAGTCCTGAGCCATGTATACCAAGTTCTGAAGGTTTTAGCTCTTGCTTTGTGGTCTTATCTGAGGTTTCCAAAATTTTTTTGCAGACGAAAATGAGTTATCAATGTTTTTTTGAATATTTTTTTTCCAGCACCAAGAAATTTCCTGCCGATTTGGCGGCGAAGGCGCTGAACAAAACCAAATCGAATTCGATCTGGAAGACCCACTAGATGACGACCCTCTGGAGGAAGACGAAATCAGCTACAGTAACTCGCCAAGAACAGAGACGATCAAGGTGTCATCGGAGTCGCTGAGGTATTCCGGGTTCCCCAAATCCCAGTCCAATCCCAAAGACGAGGACTTGGAAGAAGATCCCGCAAATAAGCTCGACAATGACGCGTTGAATCGCATCCAAATGAGCCTGAATGCACTTATGGAGTCGGCGAAAGCATCCGCAGAGACGGATGGGATGTTGGCCACAGAAGAGAGCGAGGAAAATCAAGACGAACCAGGCTCCTCGTCAAGTCTGGAGCCGGAATCCAGAGCCGACACGGCTTCGATAGCCGAGGCGAACAGTTCGGTGAGTAGTTTTTTTTTGATTGTGGTGGTCCCGTGATGGAAATGAGTAAATTTTTTCATCGTATGACATGTCACCTCACTTTGATTTAAAAAAAAATTTTTTTAAAGGGGGCTTCTTCGGTCGAGGGGCCCCCGGAATTTTTGTGAACATGAAAAAGGGGGCCTCTTCGGCTTTTTAGGGGGCTTCTTCGACATAGGGGCCTCCTACAGTGGGTTACCTGATCCTGTGGCAAAAAAAACGTACCATTTTGCATCTGGGAGGTATCAGAAATGTGGCAAAATACCTCCCTCTTCAAGTGAAAAAACTCCGTTTTGAAGGGCTCCCTCATAAAAAGAGCGGGCGCGCTTTTGAAATTGGAGCTTTTTTCACTTGAAGAGGGAGGCATTTTGCCACATTTTTGATACCCCCCGGATGCAAAATGGTACGTTTTTTGCCACTGGATGAGGTCCCCTACTGTAGGAAACCCCTTTGTCGAAGAAGCCCCCTAAAAAATCGAAGAGGCCCTTTTTTATTGTCACGAAAATTCCGGAGGCCCCTCGACCGACGAGGCCCCCTTTAAAAAAATTTTTTTTAATCAAGGAAAGGTGACATGTCGTACAATGAAAAAATTTACTCATTTTTGGTCACCCCTCATTTTGATTTTTTTTTTCGGAACCACTTTGGTCGGGGGACCTCTTCGGAATTTTTGTGAAAAAGGGGCCTATTTTAAAGATTTTTTTGATTCTTTTTGGGGGCTTCGTTGCCCACGGGGTCTCCTCGGTCAGGGGGCCCTCTTCGGCCGCAACTTTTGAACAGTTACCTAAAATTTGCATCGTATAACATGTCACACTTCATTTTGAAAAAATTAAAAAAAATCAAAGTGAGGTGACATGTCATACGATGAAAAATTTTTCCCATCCCTCATTTTGAATTTTTTTGGGATCACTTTGGTCGAGGGACCTCTTCAGAATTTTCGTGAAAAGGGGGCATATTCGACTCTTTTTGGGGCCTTCGTTGGACGCGGGGTCATGTCAGGGGGGCCCTGGCATGACCCTTTCGGCCGCAACTTTTGAACAGTTACATAAAATTTGTATCGTATAACATGTCACCCTTCATTTTGAAAAAATTTAAAAAATGAAGGTGAGGTGACAGGATGAAAAAATCTCCTTATCCCTCATTTTGAACTTTTTTTCTATTTTACGGCGAGTAAATTTTTGTTTTCTTTTTGTTTTTGGTTTAGATATCTGTTGTAATAAACCTCTGTTTTCAGCAGAACGCCAAGAGTCTTCCCCTGTCCCAATGGCTGAAAGTTGTCGACTTTTGCCGACGAACCAATCAGGACTTCTACGTGGACGAAAACCACCTCGTTTTCATTAGTCGCAGCTGCCGCGAAGAGGTGCTTCGAGTCCCCATGGATCGAGTCTGCCCAGAGTGAATCTCACGCTATTATTTTGCATTGTAAACGGTATTTTCTCTGTGAAATCTCAGTAAGTATTTAAAATGGCAATAAACGAGTTTCGGTTTGCAAATTTTGGTCGATTATTTGTCAGAAGTATAGGGTAGGTACCCTAAATTTAATTTTTTTTTCTTTTTTTATTTATCTTTTCTTGTATAATCTAGCTGGCCCATATTATAGGCCGTTCAGAAAGTCGCTGAAGTGAGTTTAGCGACATGGATTATGTAAAAACAAAAGCTTACTTTGTACTGTGCAATTTCTTGCTTTTTGCACTCTGCAATAGGAGTTTTTTGGGGTGTCACTTACACTCTGACTTTTTCTCCACAGTGTAAAGGCCAAAAATAACTCCGGCGACTTTCGGAGCGGCCTACTACAGTCGCGGACCTGATCCAATGGCAAAAAACGTACCATTTTGCTTCCGGGAAGTATCAAAAAATGTGGCAAAATACCTCCCTCTCCAACTGAAAAAACTCCAATTTCAAAAGCGTGCCCGCTCTTTTTTTGTGAGGTAAAGTCGCATTCTTCGAAATAGAGTTTTTTTTGTTGGAGAAGGAGGCATTTTGCCACATTTTTTGACACTTTCAGCATGCAAAATGATACGTTTTTTGCCAATGGAGCAGGTCCCCCACTGTACAAGCGAAGTGGTCGGATTTTGACGAAGCTTGGCACAACTTTAGACTAATTTTTTCTAATATACATGTGATACTCTTAGCCCTCCTTTTTGCAGAAATTACCGAGATTTTTAGATGAAAAATAAGCAAAAATTTGACACTTTTTGGCAAATTTTGTGTTGAAAAATTTCATGCTTATTTCTACTGCAGAGGGTAATCTTTCCGTTTCCTGCCAGTGGATCAGGTCCGTCATTGTACGCTTTTTCAAAACTGCGTAGGCTTTTTTTGCAGCGGCGATTTTTCAATTTTACGGTACAACAGGTGAATCGCACAGTGCGGAAGGTTTACGACAAAAAGTCTACACACTTTTGAAAAAATTTAGTATTGTCGTATGACAGTTTTGGAATTAGTTTCATCCGCAATAAAATTCAAGGGTTTCAGTTCGGCGCTTCCACGCGATCTTTATTGTTTGTTTCCACGAGTGCCAATAAAACTGTAGAATAGAATTCGCATCGGCGTTGTAAAACCGCGCTTTCATTTTCTGATTGTAGCCGGTCGGATAATGTTTTTTTTCGGGTGGGGTTGTCCGCACTTTTTGGGGCGATGACAGTTCGACTCAACGATACTGTGAATCGAATCGTGTCGGTTTGTCGTTGTATGCATGGGAGAGGCTAGGAGAAGGCTTAGTTAATAGAAATAATAAGATTGATGGTCCTAGGATAGTTTATCACCGATTTTGAGTTATTTTGCATGTACTCACATCAATAATGTCTAGATAAAAGTTACGGATCTTCATTTTTTGCAGCAAATTTTGGTCTTTTATATGTTACAATGACTTAGGGTAATGAAAACTAACGTTAGTAACAGCTAAGATTAGAAAAAGTGGACATATTTCAAGTCTTCGCCAAGTCTCCGCCGAGCTTTGGCCAAGCGTCCGCCGACCATCCAACGGCTTTGCCAGGCCTCGTAGCACTTCCTACAGCCTTTTTTCGGGTATCCACTTGCATTACGGCGCGGATCAATCGATTATGTGTTGTGCCGAACTGTCATCGACATGAAAGTTTGGGACACGAAAAGAATTACCTTGGTTCCCCTTATCATTTTTCCTTCAACCCCAGCCTTAGCTACACCCTTGAACAGTACGCCACCATTTCCCCAACAGACTGAGATTTCTATTTCTCTTTTTATAAAACGCTGTTTATTGAAATACTGGCCGCTTTACAGGCTTTGAATGAACCATGTCCAAGAGAAAATGCTTTTCGAAGAACAATTGCTTGACTAATGGCAACATCCACGGAACGAATTATGATATAATTCAACCGGACTTCCAAGGATATCGATTTACACCGAAAGTGGAGCCAATGGAAGCAGAGAATGATGTGATTCATCCAGAACTTGTCGACGAGTATAGAGAGGTGATCAAAGCAGTGGTAAAGGAGGAAGGAGAGGAGTCGCCGAACGAAGAGGAGGCTACTATGAAAAGAAAGGTGAGAGCTTGAAAATATATAAAGGAAGTATAATATTTGGCATGGGACAGACAGATTTTTTTATTTTTTTTTTCAAAGGAAGTGCGAAATGTTTTTCAAGTTTGGGACTTTAAGCTTGCAAATTTCAGAGCCATTTGCGACATGTAGTTTTTCTAAATAGATAAAATACAGAAACTAAAAAGTTATGGCCAAAAACTGCTTCTGGCCGGCTCTCCTCATTTTGTGTGCTCTCTCTGAAACATGGTTCGCTCGGACCACTGCAATTTCAATTTATTTACACTAATCACAGGCAAAAAAGTCATGGAGTGAATCATAATAATTTCCATTGCCCGGTCAAGGTAAGATCGCTCCATCGGAGGCCATGATTCTTGCCAGCATCGTCGATCCATCTCATCCTGAAGCGCCCAAACGGTCGTGTATAGGGGGATGTCGAATTCATGCTGATCACTTGAAATCCATTACGATGAACAGCTACTGTCCCAGGCGAAGCCCTTTGTGCCCGCAACGGCATGGGTGGACAGGAAAAACCGACCACTCTCCAGGAAGAAAAAGTCGGAATCGGACCACTGCAAATTTTTAAAAAAATCTGGATGCCCCGCCTGACAAGATTTGGCGTGGCTCGCATCTTGCGGAATCCCTGCAACTTCTAGGCCAGCTTTGATCTCGAACTAACATACTTTCTTATCCAGAAACGAGAAGCTAAGAAGAAACCTGCATCCCGTAGAAAAACGATGACTTCAAGAAGATCGGCCGGCTCGAGTGGCCGAGTACGTCTTTCGACCAAGCAGAAGCTCGATTCGTCTATGGGACGAGAAGCAGGAGCCGCTGAGGAGGATGGCGAATCGGACGAGGAAGCCACTGAACTATCTATGCAAGCTCAGGATCCGTTGAGTAAAGCAGGACGCTCGCTGGCTTGTAAGTAATGCTACTTTTTGCATTTTTTTACATGGTGCCCCCTTCAGAATTTTTGGTCAGCTGCGCCCCTGTAACTTGACTCAAATTTACGGCATTTTTTATAAGACATATACCACACTCGTAGCTCGGGCGTCTCTGAAACGAACGAGGTTTTTTCTGACCAAAGTTTGAGAAGATGTGATACTTTTATGCAAATTTTTGAGACGAAATGTTCCATATCCATTTCCAGTGTGGACGATGGTGTTTCCTTAAGAAATCAATTTTTTTCATGCGAAGCTGACAAAACTATGGTCAAAAATTGTTTTTCTCTATGATCGCTCCCCCGGGTTTCGCGTACTCTCTCGGCCTCAAAGTAGTAATTTGCAAGTTCTCTAACCTGTAAATCCTTTCAGTAAAGAGAAAAAAATCTGTGAAGAGGTGCATCACGATTAACAGAATGCAAATCCATCAGTTATGTGATTCTCCAAACCAGGAAACGGTAGATTCAATCCTAACAAAAATGCCTCGCATGAATGTCAGTGGTGATTCGATAGCCACGATTGACGTCATGCCTTGTAAAGACGACAAGTTTTTTGTGGTGAACGGGGTCAATGTCTGGCTGGCGGCCAAACAGGCCGACAGAAAAGAGTTGGAAGTGCTCGTATGGCCGTCTTTGACGCTTGCAGAAATCGTACTTCTGCGATATCAAGAGAGCGATGAGCTGAAACTTGGGCATTGGGCCCCCTCACACACTCAAATTGTAAGGTGTTTGAATTGAGACAGCCAGAGATTGCCACGGCTCCGGAGCCGGCTCTTGGCTCCGGCTACGAGCCGGGAGCCAGAGCCGGACCCGGAAATTTTGGTTGCGACTCCGGCTCCAAAGTCGGAGCCAGGCATCTCAGCGTTCAGAAAAGTAAAAATTTCATGATCTTGTTAAACCAAATTGCTTGAGAAATACTGGGAAGGGTGTGTTGCATACGACTTGGATGCAAAAACGTTGGGTGTGTGATCTCTGGCACTAATAACTTTTATTTTTGGATTTTTTTTGCACGGGAGCCGGGATTCGGAGCCGGGGACCTTTTTAAATTTTTCATGGGAGCCGGAGCTGCAAATTTGGCCTCGGCTGCGGGAGCTAAGAGCCGGAGTCTCTGTGAGCTAAGAGCCGGAGCCGAAATTTTGACCATGGCAATCTCTGGTGACAGCTATGACTCTTCAGGTCAAAGATCTCCGCGCCTTAATGGACGCATCAGTGATTGTTTTCCGAGCTAACGACTTCTCCTCGGACCACACAATCTCACGTCGAACCGCCAGCCTCAAGGTGGCCGCATTACCGGCTTTCGTGAAGGAGTTCCACGTGCAGATCGCCTGCAAGCCGGCCGAACAACGCGACGCCCTCGTACGTCTCCTCGAACTGATGGAAAAGACGGTCTGGCAGAGGAAGAGCCGCAAAGGCCCGAACAGACGCGGACAGGTGTCGATTCTGCGCCAGTTCTTTCGCAACTTCGTTTGGTCGAAGCACGGCAAGAACCTGGTCAAATTGATTGCGCAGGCCGAAGCGGACGGGACGGTGTTCGACATTGGAGATACGGCGTTGTTTTCGGTAAGAGAGAAGAAAACTATCAGTCTGTCGGGAAAATAATGAGCACTCTGTCACATCCAAAACCGCACCATCGTCAAGACAATTATTAGGTTGATTTATAATTATCCGGCGGTTTTATTGGCGCGTTTTTTGTTAGTTAAAATTTGCGTTTTGTTAATGTTTTTTTTATAAAAATAATCTTCTCTGGTTAGTCAATAAAATGGCAGTCGAAACCCATACTCATATTTGCCACATCATGCTCTACCACTTCGAGAAAAGTTGGAAGTCAGCACGGTCATTCCGCGATCTCGACGAACTTTTCGGCGAAGGAACAAAAAATAGACACGATTTCCCAGTGGATGATTCCGCTTCTGTCCCACCACACATACCACGTAGCCTTCTTACAGTGGACGTCTTTTGGTACTCCTTTGGGCGAAACACCTGCCAATTTTTTTCCTTCGCCGAAAAATTCGTTGAGATCGCGAAATGACTGTGCTGACTTCCAACTTTCCTCGAAGTGGTAGAGCATAATGTGGCAAATATGAGTATGGGTTTCGACTGCCATTTTATTAACTAACCAGAAAAGATTATTTCTATAAAAAAACATTAACAAAACGCAAATTTTAACTAACAAAAAACGCGCCAATAAAACCGCGGGATAATTATGAATCAACCTAATAATTTTGTCGCGGCAAAATCAAATTCTTTTTCACCTCAGCGACTCAGTGCAAAATGGGGTTTTTTGCACAGTGCCGCCCAAAAAAACATAAGATCTTGAAGAAAAGGCGTTAATGACGACTTTTAGGAATCGGAAAAGTACAAGGATGAATTTGTGTCGCCAGTTCGTCGCCTTTTCGCAGACATCAACGACGAGGACATTGTCTTTCAATCGGGCGGATGCTTTCCCCCGGAAAAGGCGAAGGAAGTGAAGCACTTCACAGATTTGATGTAAGTCATCTTTTATACCTGCCCACCGTTCTTTAGAAAACGTGGAGTTATTGAAATGAATAGGACAGAGTGCATTGCGACCCTCTGTTTGACGTTCTACAGTAATCTCAAACATCCATGGCCTATGTCGTTGACGTTTGATCAAGCGGCCACGGATGCTCATGAGGACTTCGCTGGGTTGTTGGAAAAGGAGTTTAACATGAAATTCATCTACCTTGACATCACTGAAGTAAGTGGTTTGGATATTTCCCATAACTTTGAAAGCGGTGGATGAATTCAATAGATTCGTATAGTTATCAGTACCAGGGAGTTGTTAATACAAAATTTGGGGCTTTCCAAGTTCAGCCCCTCAGGAAGGATAATTCAAACCCCCCACTGCTTTTGCCCGTTTCAAACCCCATAATGAAAAAAATTTGAATAATAAAAAAATACAAATCCCCAGTATCCCTCCATAATGTTGGTGTTCACATTCAGGCGCCGTCGTATTCCATACTAAATGTATTATTTTTGGTATATCAAACCCCCAACGTTGTACATCTAACCCCCTACGTTTTTGATCAAACCCACACTTTTCAGATTGGATGAGGGTGTTTGTGCTGGGTTGTGGGGTCTGAACTGGACTGGGGGTTTGTGCTACCTTATCCCCCAAAATTTCTATCAAACCACGTAAATTACGGGGGAAAAATCGTTCTAAATTTCTACCAAGTTTCATTAAAATCTGAGCGTGTGGAGTATCAGTCCATCGGGAAAATAATGAGCACTCTGTCGCATCGAAAATTGCATCACCTCCGAGTAAATGAATTGCATTGTGGCAAAATCAAATTGCTTTTCTTTTCAACGACACGATCGCCGCATCATTGTGCTTATTATTTTCCCGACAGCTGATAATTCGCCTACTGCCCCTCTTAAAGGGCCTGTACAGCTACTTTGAAAAGCGATTTTCTCGGCTTGGGGTGGCGTTCTGATATAACGTTTGTTTTCGTGGTGGAACGCACTGACAAATTCGGTGCGACTTTTTTTGATCCAAGATGAAGAATATTAGGTGCATAACGTACATTATTCAGCGTTATATAGCTCCAATTTGTTGTTTTTATGTGGAGAATGGGTAAGTCGTTGTTTTGAAAAAATTTTGTGTGGATTTTTAGAGATTTTTGATGTTGGGGATGCATTTTGAAGCATTTGGGATAAATTATAAGATAAAATAGGTTTTATGAGGTGGAAGGAAGGTAAATTTGTTCTAGAAGGTTTTGCTAATTCCATATTCAACGATCCCAACTTTCGTGAAAGCCGCTAAGAACACCGCTTCAACGACTGCTGTTTTGAGTACCTTTCTAGTTAATTACCCACGTATTAAACTTGATTTATTTATTGTTCAAATTCTTGAAAAAGTCTGCATAATACAGAAAATGGCTGCATCTTCTCCATTGCCGGTTCTAATCAATTTTTCTGGAATCCACAGCGGTTCTGATCCCTTGAGCACCTCGGTTTCTTCAGTCAGACGACGTTCGGGCAACGGGAATTCTGCCTGGAAAACAAAGACAAACATGAACAATACAATGTGAAAATTAAAGTCAGATGGAATAAAAAACATTAAATAAAAGTCCCGAATAAAGCTGCAGGTCTATAAAACCTAATTGTGAAGGCCATGAAACCTAATTGTCAGGGTATATACGCAACATTACGACGCATTTTCCACTTATTTCTACCTAAAATAATATCAAAAATACATCAAATGTCAAAAACAATGTAGCGTATTTCAAAATAACTTCACCCACTCATAAGCAAAACCTTCTAGACCAAGTTTACCTTCCTTTCACCTCATAAAACCTATTTTATCTTATAATTTATCCCAGAGGCTTAAAAAGGCATCCCCAACATCAAAAATGTCTAAAAATCCACACAAAATTTTTTCAAAACACCGACTTACCCATTCTCCACATAAAAACAACAAATTGGCGCCATATGACACTGAATAAAGTACGCTACACACCTAATATTCTTCATCTTGGATCAAAAAAAGTCGCACCGAATTTGTCAGTGCGTTCCACCACGAAAACAAACGTTATATTAGAACGCCACCCCAAGCCGAGAAAATCGCTTTTCAAAGTAGCTGTACAGGCCCTTTAACCGACCTTTCCGTTTTTATCGACTCTTTTCAGTATGACGCAGCAGTTCTCGACAACCTGCCTCTCATCCAGCGGATCATGGAACTGAAAGGACACACCCAACAAACGCAATGTCAATCGATTGTTATACGAAGTGACATTAAAGATCCGAACAGGGTCAAGCAAAGAATGCCAATGCTGACCTCCCAATTCCCTCCATATTCCATGACGGTGACTGTCATCAATGAAAGGATCTCCATCAGAGGTTCATTAGCGGACAAACGGCTCACTTTTCTGCACTATTTTGGAAGACCGCCGCCTATTTATGTCAAGGGCGGTGAGTGCTATGCGACGTCCAACTTGCACGAGCTGATGCCGTCGTTGTTTGCGGCGAAGCCGAGCTCGGGCTTGATGTTTATTTCGCGAGGCGATGGTAAGTCCATATATGGCTCAGGACTTGCAAGTCCCGACTTGTAAATCTTTGTGTGTCCATAAAATGTGTCACGATGACACCGGTTTAAAATCTATCAGTGGTTTAAATAACGGCTGTATATGGCTAGGAGCACTCCATAGAGCATGATAAAAAAATTTGAGAACTGCAGCGGTTCTCGCCGCGGAGAAAATCCAGAAAAATCCGGAAAATCCGCGTATTGAAAAAGTTTTGAACTTACAAGGGAAGTATCCCAAGTGCGACGCTCGGATTTTCTTTAAATTTTGCACACACGTCGGTCGTGAACTAAGTATCGATTCCTGAAAGTTTTAGCTCGCGCTTTGCCGGCGCCGCCGAGATATTGAACGATCTTTGCCGCCGCGAGAGCATGCTAACCGCGGAGAATGCTCAGAGAGAAAAACACTTTTTTGGCCATAACTTCGCAAGTTTTGTGCGGAAAAAATTTATTTTTTTGTGGAAACATTACCCTCTAAGGTAGAAATAGGCATGAAACATTTCGGCAAAAAGTGTCAAATTTTCGCCGACTTTCGATCTAAAAATCTCGGTTGTTTCTGCAAAGCGCGAGCCAGGATTCTCGCATATATTTTTAAAAAAATTATTCTAAATGTTTACCAAGTTTCATCAAAATCTGAGCGTCGCACTTGGGGTCCTTCCCCTGTTAATTTTTTTTTGGGTGCTCCCGGCAGTATTCCTAGCCATATACAGCTGTTATATACACCACTGAAACCCTTTAAACGGGTGTCATCGTGACACATTTTCTGGATACACAAAGATTTATAAGTCTCAAAATATACAGTGGGGGACCCGATCCAGTTGAACAAACGTTCCATTTTGCATCCGGGAAATATCAAAAATGTGGCAAAATGCTTCCCTCTCCAACCAGAAAAACAACGTTTTTAGAGCCCTTTCCCTCACAAACAGAGCGGGCGCGCTTTTGAAATCGGAGTTTTTTCACTTGGAGAGGGAGGTATTTTGCCACATTTTTTGATACTTCCTGGATGCAAAATGGCACGCTTTTTTCCATTGGATCTGAGTCCCCCACTGTATATTCACTGGCCAATCAGACATCCATAACATTATTTAGCGCTCAACTTGAACTCTTTCACTTTGCACATCGCAAATTTCAATGGTATCTGCGTGTATCCGGACCTGGAATGTATACAAGAAGCCAAGAGGTATACAAAAAGCGCAACATCAAAGTCTACGAGTACAAGGGACGAACGGCACTACATTCCCTTCCATCAGAGCTCATCCTTCCGGTATTCGGAGATACCGGAATAGATTTAACAGCGTATTTATTCGACATCCTGGTAATGTTCATCGGCACAAGCATGGAATTTCGCAGCAAAAAATAGCACCAACGCCAAGAAGGAGACGTTATTTATTCTTTGAGTTATTTTTGCTCAGTGTACATAAGAAACCGCAATAAACAAATTTCGTTGCAACATTTTTTTTAATTCCACCCTGTCCGCAAATGTCTCACAATAAGACGAAATTGCCATTTTTAATGGCCTCTCACGTCAGGAAAAAATAAACTAACAGCGCCTAAAAAATGTTGCAATTTTGCCGATTTCTCCAAAAGTTTCACTCGCCCCAGTTTGAACTTTGTTGCAAACATAGTCTGGAGCAAGGCGGACTTTTTGAGCCTAAAACGAAAAAAATCAAATGAGTCAGTTTCGAGATAGAAAATCTAAAATATATCTATTCATAAGGTTTGGGGTTTCTTTTTTCTTTTGCTCCGATTGACTTGATTTTTGGCGTGGGGGTTGTCTTTGATGCTCTCTTTGTGAATTTGAAAAAAAATTTCAAAATTTTCAATTTTGAGTGACCTATAACGTCACAAAAAGTCAAAACTTTGGATTACTGTAACTCGCTTCGTTTTATAGGTATCGACTTGATTTTTGGTTTCATAGCGTATGGTACATAATGGGACAATCACTGTCGAGATTTTTTCGAAATTTCAAATTTTACGAAAAAAATCTCAAAAAATGACCTTTTTTCGTAAACGTTCGACGCGTCCAGCTTTATTGAAATGCAAGCTTCTACAGGTCCATATCGGGAAAGCAAATTCATAACTAAGAGATATCTCAATGTATGTGTAGATACGGCCATGTACAAACTTACACTTCCAGAAAACCCCGTCGTGATGACGGATTTTCTGGATTTTTTTGATTCGATTGAATTCTACGTACCAGACTTCCTATTAGGTCGTGTCTTTCTTTTTTGTAGTGTACTTCGTATTTTAGCCATGGCTTACTGTAGAAAATACGATTTGCACAGTGCAAATTTCAAAAGATTCGTTCTCGGCCCCCAGGTCGAAATTCAAAAAAATCACTCGCAAATCTTATTTTTTTTGCCCGAAGATTGTCCTCAATTTGTTTTTGGACCTGTAGTCATCGTCATCTCCCAGAACCAGTTCTATATTGAAAATCGCATTTTTTTCAAATTTTAGAAATTTTCAGAAAATCAAATTTTTCGTCATGTTCCGCAACAACAACTTCAAAAGTGTCCAACAATAGATTGTAGAGCTCGAAGAGCTCTACAATTTACCCGCTTACACTACGTTCGTATCTGTCGAATTACGGCCGCCAGAGCGGCCGGAAATTTCGGTCGATTTTTGGTGCACTGTGCGAAAAAAATTGCCCTCAGGGCAATTAGCGGAGTTGAACAAATTGATCATATGGGTGCTATAGGACACAAAATGAACTACCATCGTGCCAAGTTTCAGCTTTCTACCTGCAATATTCCGTGCGCACTGTGTCTCCGAAGAAAAATTTCGAAATTTTGGCCGAATTTCGGCCCTGAGGGCTTGAAACGGAATTTGTTCGGATTTTTATTTCGTCCATCGTATTCAGCACATCGAACTGCTACAGAAACAGCTATCGATTCGTAAAATACGCACAGGTTGAAAAAGCAGTATTCAAATTTCCGAATTTTCGGATTTTGCTTACTTTGACGAAAGTTACTATAGCTCGGGAACAAGGTCGAAATTCAAAAATCCCGCCTGGGACGCACTAGATAATTGAATTATCATTCCGTAGCCGGAATTTCGTATCTGACATCCAAAGATATGATCAGATATCATGTTTGAAGCGGCGGTCTCAAAAAATTCAAAATTTTTAAAACCGTCAAATCTCCAAAATTTCCAACTAAAATTCGACTAAAAGTTACATATTCAGAATCTCCGTGTCATTTCGGGCATAGTCGTATCTTTTTCCCCGATACTTTTAGTGCAACAAGTGCCAGTTTTGAAAAAACGCCCACTTCCACGGACGAAAACACAAAAAAGAGCGCGGCGAAGAGAGAGAGCGGGCAGAGAACCGCTTCCTTCTTCGTTCGGCGGGAGAAAAGAGAGAATGGGAAAGGTGTGGAGGGTGGTTAGACAAAGGTTTTCTCTTTCGATTCCGGTTAGAGATCAGGCGAAGAGAGTGCTGAGTGTGAGGAGGGTGGTACGGAAACTGTCGTCGTGACGCGTCATGACGGGGTTTTCTGGATTTTTTCGAGAAATTTTTGTAAAATTATTTTTTTGGGCCTGGATTCTCGGGATTTGGCCGTTTTAGGGCCAAATTTTATGGGGAATTCGAAAAAAATATTGTCTTAGGGTAACTTTGAGTGCCGAGTCCATTTTTTTTTGATTCTTTTTGTTGATTTTGGTTGCTGAAAGTATTTCTGATCAACTTTTGGGGAAGGGGAATTATTTTAGGTAAAAAATGTAGTCTCGCGGCGGCCGTAGGCCATCGCCTCATGCCGGCGGGCTCTTTAGCCGGGCTTAGCGATCTGGGAGTGACCTGAGCTTAGCGATTAGGGTAAATTCTCGATCTAAAACAAAGTCGGCTTAGCGTTCCGAACGACACAAGTTTCTACTAGGCTCAGTCTAACGCGTAGCGTTTTTCTGCCGCGGCCGGAGGCCGTCGGCAGAGCTTTGGCGAGCGTTTATGTTGTTTTGGACGTTGAACAGGTCCAAATCGCGCGAAGAGCAGCAATACCGGGCGCAAAGCAGCGAAACCGGGCGCAGGACTGCCCGAGAGGCGTGAGCAGCCGCAGGCTGCGAAGTCTCGAGCCCTAGTCTAAAATATATCAATTCATAGGGTTTGTCCTTTGTTTTTTGTTTTGCTCCGATTGACTTGATTTTTGGCATGGGGGTTCCTTTAGCTGCTTTCTTTGAGAATTTGAAAAAAAATTTCAAAATTTTCAGTTTTGAGTGACCTATGACGTCATGAAAAGTCGAAACTTTGAGTCTCTGTATCTCGCTCCGTTTTACAGCTACCGACTTCAATTTTGGTTTCGTCGCGTATGGTACATAATGGGACAATCACTGTCGAGATTTTTTCGAAATTTCAAATTTTACGAAAAAAATCTCAAAAAAAGACCTTTTTTCGTATCTTTTTATTAGACCGGGGAATATTCAAATGCAAGCTTCTACAGGTCAATATCGGGAAAGCAAATTCATAACTAAGAGATATCTCAATGTATGTGTAGATACGGCCATGTACAACGTTACACTTCCAGAAAACCCCGTCATGATGACGCATTTTCTGGATTTTTTCGATTCCATTGAATTCTACGTACCAAACTTCCTATTAGGTCGTGTCTTTCGTTTTCGTAGTGCACTTCGTATTTTAGCCATGGCTTACTGTAGAAAACACGATTTGCACAGTGCAAATTTCAAAAAAATCGTTCTCGGCTCCCAGGTGGAAATTCAAAAAAATCTCTCGCAAATCCTAATTTTTTTGGCCAAAGATTGTCCCTAAATTTTTTCAGAACATTCTACGTAGCCATCTCCTCAAACAAATCTCCGGACGGAAAACGCAATTTTTCGAAATTTTCAAAATTTTGACTTTTTCAAATTTTCCTCCTTGATGTACAACAACGACGTCAAAAACGTCCAACTATAGATTGTAGAGCTCGAAGAGCTCTACAAATTACCCGCTTACATCTTCAGCTTATCTTTAAAATTACGGCCGTCAGAGCGGCCGGAAATTTTGGCCGATTTTTGGTGCACTGTGCGAAAAAATTGCCCTCAGGGCAATGCGCGGAGTTGACAAAATTGATCATACGGGTGCTATAGGACACAGAATCAACTACCAGCGTGCCAAGTTTCAGTTTTCTACCTGCAATATTCCGTGCGCACTGTGTCTCCGAAAAAAAAGTTCGAAATTTCGGCCGAATTTCGGCCCTGAGGGCTTGAAACGGAATTTTTTCGGATTTTAATCTTCACCATAGTATTCAGTACATTGAACTGCTACAGAAACAGGTATCGATTCATAAAATACGGACAAGGTGAAAAGGCGGTATTCGAATTTCGGAATTTTCCGATTTTACTTCAACGTATGAAAGTGAAATTATCTCGAAAACAAGGTCGAAATTCAAAAATCCGGCTCTCGCGTTCCCTCGGTAATTTGGCTGGCTTGACGAAACCCTTTGAATCTAGCCTTTTGATTTCGACCCTAAGGCCAGATCATCTTTGAAAAATTTTGGTGACAAAACTAAAAACTTTTAAAACCGTCAAAACTCGAAAATTTCCAATTAAAAGTCGTCTAAAAGTTACATATTCGGAATCTCCATATAATTTCGGACATAGTCGTATCTTTTTCCCCGGTGCTTTTAGTGCAACAAGTGCCAGTTTTGAAAAAACGCCCACTTCCACGGACGAAAACACAAAAAAAGAGCGCGGGGAAGAGAGAGAGTGGGCAGAGAACCGCTTCCCTCTTCGTTTGGCGGGAGAAAAGAGAGAGTGGGAAAGGGTTGGAGGGTGGTGAGAGAAATGTTTTCTCTTTCGATTCCGGTTAGAGATAAGGCGAAGAGAGTGCTGAGTGTGAGGAGGGCGGTACGGAAATTGTCATCGTGACGCGTAATGACGGGGATTTCTGGATTTTCTTGAGAAATTTTTGTAAAATTATTTTTTTGGTCCTGGATTCTCGGGATTTGGCCGTTTTAGGGCCAAATTTGACGGGGAGTTCGGGAAAAATATTGGATTTGGATAATTTTGAGTGCTGAGTCTATTTTTTCGAGTTTTTTAGTTGATTTTTGCTTATTTTATGTGCCTTTGATCAGCTTTTGGTGGAAGAAAAATTATTGTAGGTAACAAAATGTAGTCTCGCGGCGGCCGTAGGCCGTCGCCTCATGCCGGCGGGCTCTTTAGCCGGGCTTAGCGATCTGGGACTGACCTGAGCTTAGCGATTAGGGTAGCGATATTAACTGTTCGATCTAAAACAAGGTCGGCTGAGCGTTCCGAACGCCACAAGTTTCTACTAGGCTCAGTCTAACGCGTAGCGTTTTTC